GGCAGATAAAACTCTTTAAAGTAAAGAAACTTATAAATATAAAGTAGAGAAAATTCTAGTAGTAAAGAATATACTTAAAAAAAGTAGAAAGTAAAATATATATATTAAGTAGAAAGAGTATATTTAATTAATATAAAAACTACTTAAGAACTTTTAAAATACTATAGTACTTAACTAATTTAAAGCTAAGTAGAGAGATATATAGAAGTATAATAAGCTTAATTTATAAGTAATTAATTTCTAAATAATAGTATAAAGCATAAAGCTAATTAAAAAAATATATATATATATAGTACTAAACTATAATTATACTAGTACTAAAGCTAGCTAGCAAAAAAAAATTATTAAAAATTATTATTAAAAAAAAAATAAATAAAATAAATATAAAGCTTAATATATACTTAACTTATACTTACTATAGTGCCTACTAAAATAAGTTCTCTCTCTTATTAAAGAACTCTTAGTATATATTATTACTAGTTAAATTAATAAACTAGCTACTAAAAAAAGAAGAAAGTAAAGAGAAAATAGTATTTTAAATACTATTACCTTTATAACTACTTTCTTCTCTACTATAAAGATAAGTTAAGCTCTTAGAAGTATAAAAGTAAATATATTAGCTATAAGAAGTTGCCTTACTATAAAGTATATTAACTAAAGTATAAGTTAGCTTTTACTAATTAGTATACTTATAATATAACTTTATCTACTCTACTTACTACTTATATAGTATTTGCTTAATATTTTAAGCTATAATAGCTTAGCTCTAGAAAAAACTTACTAGTATCTACTAGTTTTTAGAGGCAGTATATGCCTGCAGTAAGTAGGTATTAACGCGCTAGTAAGCACTAGCGCCTGCAAATTAGCGCTAGCAGCTGCACTACTAGAAGACAAATTAAGTAGTATATATAAAGAATAGATAGAACTAGAGGTAATATAAGCCTGCTTTAATAATATATTAAATTTTTTAGTAGTAAAATTAAACTATATAGAAAATTTAGTATATATATTAAAGCTTTTACTTAACTTTTTATATATAGTAAATATAATATACTTATTAGTATTTATAATTTACTATATTTTCTTTTATTAGTAATATAGCTTAAAGTTTAAAGTATAAAAGTATACCTTTTAAATATACTTTTTATAGGTTTTATAGTACTACTTATAAGCTATAGTAAAGCTAGAAATATAACTAGTAGAGCTAGTATTAATAAGTTTATATTAATATAGTATATATATTTCTAAAACTTTCTCTTTATTAAAGAAGTTATTATTATTAAAGTTACTTTCTATAGTATACTTACTTATATAGTAAGTATTAAAGTATTATAGTAAACGTAGTAGAAGCAGAAAAGAGAGTATACTAGCAGTAGTCTAGCTAAAACTAAATTAGCTATATAGTATAAACTATATAGTACTTAGAGCAGTAGAAGCAAAATAAAAGCAAAATAAAAAGAGAGGTATATATAGTAGCAGCAATCTTTAAAGATAAAAGTTTTTAGTTATATAAAAAAAGTATTGATAATATATATTAAAAAAAAAATAATAAAAATAAGTAGTATAAAGTTGCTAAACTATTTATAAAGTAGAAGTATATTAAGTATATACTATATATAAAAAATATAAAGTAGAGATATATAGTTGCTAGAGAAATTAGTACTATATATCTACTTTTACTATATAGTAGTAATATAAATAAACCTACTAAAAGAAGAGTATATAATAAACTTAAGCTATAAGCTTAAGTAGATATAAAGCACTATATTAGTACTTTATTAAATATACTTTAAATATATATTAAATCTATATATATATTATAAGTAGAAAAGAGAAAACAGAGAGCTTCTTTTTTCCCTCTTTTCTCTCCTTAAGTTTATAGTTAATACTAGTAATACTTATATATAGTAGCTTGTAAGGCTAGTTCTTAATAGTAGGCTAATATTATACTATTTATATATAGCTACTTATAGCTAAAAAAACTTTAAAAAGAAGAAAAAAAGTAGAGTTATTTAAGCTCTCTTCTTTATTAGTAAATAGAGAAAAATATATTTCTTTTTACTACTAGTTAAGCTTTTTCTTACTTTTAAAGCTAAGTACTTACCTCTACTTACTATTATAATTTAAGCTATACTTAACTTTAAAGATATAATATAATAAATATAATAAGTACTATATATAAAGAATAAATAGAGAATATAAGCTTATACTATATAATTTATATAGTACTAAATTAAGTAAGCTATAAGCAGCTTATTTAATATATACTTTTTTAACTTAATAGTTAGTAGTTAAGAGAGTTTAATATACTACTAAAATAACTATAGTTAGTACTTACTATAGCTTAATAAAGCTAGTTTATTATATTTAAATAAGCTTTCTAAAGTTATAAGTTTAAGCTATATAAAAAGAGAGAGTATAAAAAATACTTAACTTAAGCTTATAAAGGCTACTACTACTCTTAAAGAGTATAAAGTATAAAAAGCATAAAAGAGAGCTATATTATAGTTTAAGCTATACTTAACTTTAAAGATATAATATAATAAATATAATAAGTACGATATATAGAGAATAAATAGAGAATATAAACTTATACTATATAATTTATATAGTACTAAATTAAGTAAGCTATAAGTAGCTTATTTAATATATACTTTTTTAACTTAATAGTTAATAGTTAAGAAGGTTTAATATACTACTAAGATAACTATAGCTAGTACTTACTATATCTTAATAAAGCTAGTTTATTATACTTACTCTTTAAAAGCTAAGAAATAAAAAAGTAAAAAAAAAGCAGAAGAAAAACTTTATTTAAAAATTAAAAGTATAAAGCTTACTTATTAAGTAGAAAACTTTTTATAATTAGTTATTATTTATTAGTAAGTTAATATAACTTTATATTACTTTAGCTATAAAAATAACTAGTAGTTTAATAAGTTAATAAATAACTTAATATAATAAGTAAAAATAAACTCTTTAAAAAGTCTATAGTAAGTAAATATTTACTATTACTTATTATTATTAAAGCTATATTAAAGCTATAGTATTAAATACTTTATTAATAGCTTTATAAAGCTTATCTTTCTAGTAGTCTTTTAATAAGTATAGAAAAAGTAGAATTTTTTAAGAGAAAAGTTAAAAAGAAAGAGAGAGAGATAAATAAATAAATAATATATTTAATACTTTCTTAAAGCTAGTCTTTACTTTAGTTAAAGTATTAAGTAAGCTAATATTATACTATTTATATATAGCTATTTATAGCTAAAAAAACTTTAAAAAGAAGAAAAAAAGTAGAGTTATTTAAGCTCTCTTCTTTATTAGTAAATAAAGAAGAATATATTACTTTTTACTACTAGTTAAGCTTTTTTTTACTTTTAAAGCTAAGTATTTATCTCTACTTACTTTTTAAAAGCTAAGAAATAAAAAAGTAAGAAAAAAGTAGAAGAAAAACTTTATTTAGAAATTAAAAATATAAAGCTTACTTATTAAGTAGAAAACTTTTTATAATTAGCTACTATTTATTAGTAAGCTAATATAACTTTATATTACTTTAGCTATAAAAGCAATTAGTAGTTTAGTAAGTTAATAAATAACTTAATATAATATTATAGTCTGAGCTATGCTTAACCTTAATAAATGCGCTGCACTGCAATGCGCAATAGGGGGACAAGCCCGTGCAGGACCTAACCTATATAGTGCCAGATTGAGCAAGCTGTAGACAGCTTGTTCAATACGTACCCTTTTGACTCAACGGTCAGTTAAGGGGTCCGGCACACCACCGGGATGACTGCAGCTGGCACCCGCTATAGCCCAATAGGGTCAGTCTATTACATTTAAATAAGCTTCCTAGGGTCGCAGGTTCAAGCCGCACAAAAAGAGAGTGCAAGGGATACTCAACACCTGGGCTCACAAGGGCTACCGGCCACCCTTGGGGGGTGCGAGGTATAGGAGGCACAGAAGGGGGCTATATCATGGTCTGAGCTATGCTCGACCTTAATAGATGCGCTGCAATAGATGCGCTGCACTGCAATGCGCAATAGGGGGACAAGCCCGTGCAGGACCTATATAGTGTGCCAGATTATAGACAGCTTGTTCAATACGTACCCTTTTGACTCAACGGTCAGTCAAGGGGTCCGGCACACCACCGGGATGACTGCGGCTGCCACCCGCTATGGCCCAATAGGGCCAGTCCATCACATATAATAAGTAAAAATAAACTCTCTAAAAAGTCTATAGTAAGTAAATATTTACTATTACTTATTACTATTAAGGCTATATTAAGGCTATAGCGCTAAATGCCTTATTAGTAGCCTTATAAAGCCTGCCTTCCTAGCGGCCCCTTAATAAGTGCAGGGAAGGCAGAATTTTTCAAGGGGAGAGTTAGAGAGAGAGAGAGAAGGCGCGGGGCGGGGTCTTTAAGGCAGTCCCGACTCCCGACTCGGGGACCGGCGCCCCGCACACCGCCGCTCCCCAACCTCTCTTCATCCCGAGTCGATGGCTCAATCTGGTCCGTTTCATCCACCACGACTCTTTGTACACTTGAGCCTTTGTGCTGAAGCCCTGACCTGCGTCCATCTACCGCGGAGGCGATGGACAAGGACTCTGGCGGACGAGGCATCGAAAATCCCACACACCGAGGGGTCTCCCAGACCGCCGCCATGGGCGCGACGACGATGCAAGTCGACGCTGCTATCCAAGTCGCGGCCGCGGCCCTCACCGAGGAGGCATTCCAGCCGTACGGCGACGTCATCAGCAACCCGCGGCCTGACGTCCACCCATCCGCGTTCTCGTCGCGCTCGGCGTCGCTCCCCGCCAACGCCGTGTCCGCAAACCAAGGCTTCGCCATCCAATACCGCAACGTCAGCCGCGTCAGGAACCTCTACGGCCAGTCCCCCAGCGGGAGGGCCGACGCCGTCATGAGCATGTTTGTATGCTCGGCCCGTGGCCTGTCCCCCCTCAGCGCCACCCACGACAAGTTCACCGTGCGCCTGCTCGAGCGGCACCCCTTCACCACGCAGACCTTTGCTCCCGTCGCCTCCTCGGCACGGCGCTACCTCGTCGTCGTGGCGCCCAGTCTGCCTCCCAGCGGGGCCGATCGGCACCTGCCCGCCCCCGAGGCCGACGGCTTGCCCGGCAGGGGGTTGCCGCACCTCAAGGCGCTCAGGGCCTTTGTGGCCACGGACGCGCAGGCCGTGACGTATGCGCCCGGGACGTGGCACGCGCCCATGGTGGCGTTAGGGGCCCCTGGGACCACCTTGGACTTTGTCGTCTCCCAGTTTGCGAGTGGTGTCGCCGTCGAGGACTGCCAGATTGTTGAATTGGAGGCGGGGCACCGCGCCGAGGGGGGGCCGAGCCTCGTCGAGGTTGCGGTGCCGAAATCAAGATTGGAGAAGCTGTGATGCAGACACGGCTTCGCCTTTTTTCAAAATCTAGAAAGCAGTCGGCGTCCTAGCTGGGTTTGGTGGAAAACTAGACGTCATGATTCTACTTCAACCGTAGTACAGTTGGGGAGGCGACACGTTACTCAAACGCTCATGGGTGGCCCCGAAGCTGCTACGACACAGTTTCTGAATTGGAGAATTCTGGACCGCTCCAAAGGCCGCCCTTCGAAAAAGGCCAATGTCCAAAGGGCCACTCATGGCAAGTGCGCGACAGACCATGTGTCTAGCGATACAACGCCTCGCGACGCTACAACAGCGCGAGGGAACTAAACTGCTCAAGACACGGGCACCTTGCAGGGACAACGGACAGAAGATACGAGTCTTGGGTGTACCTAATACGTGGCCACTACGGACGTAAACCGTACTCGTTCTCGTGTGTAAGTCTACCTCTTTGCACACCCCGAGACAGAAAATGGAAAAACGACAAGGGTAATGGAGCAGAAGAGAAAAATTCGAGCCTACATCCGAGGCAAAGAGGACGAAATCACGATTCTCTATCCTAGGCTACAAGAGTCGGTCTCTGCAGGCTACCAAGCGGCATGACGCTAGTTTTTCTGGCCAAGGCCCCATTGGCATCCTGTTGACATTGGCAAACTGGGCACGGCGTCCACAATGGCGGTCTTGCCCTCCCTTTTCTCGTTCCTTGTCGACCAGATGGCCGCGAATCTACTTAAATCTGCGGCGAGACCGACGCCGGCGAAAGCAACGGACATGATGCTGAAAAACTTCATGTTGCAGGTGGGTTGAAAATAGAAGTCAGCGCACGACGGGGAGCTAGGGATGAAGAAACAGGTGCTGCAATGGTTTGAAGCAAAGGCCAGGAGCAAAGTTGAGGCTGGAAAAGCAAAGCGGGTTGCTCGTGATGTTTGTAATTGTAAAAAAAAGCCCCTCCAAAACGGCACGCAAGGCTTCAACTCCAAGAGGAGAACTTTGACCAACTTTGACCCGTGCAGATGGGACACGCAAATCGACAGTTAAGAGTCTTGCCAATGCTTAATTCTCAGCTTATAAGAATGCAACTGTTTGAATAAGCGAGTAGTTATAAGTAGGTAATATTATGGAGACCTACGTAAAAGCTAGAAATATAGCTGTACTCAATATCCTCTAACTGAGTGTTGTAAGTTGAGGAATTTATAGCTAGAAACTAGCCCTTCTTCTATATCAACAGCAATAGCATGACAGACTTTGCTGAAACAGCTATGCACTAGGGTTGGGGTTGAGGTTGGGGTTGGGGGATGAGCCGAAGAATAACTATTACGCATCAATACTAGGGTTAGGCGCAATTGTATACAGATCTGCGTCGACCCCAACGCCTGGCCCTCTTCATTCAACAGCACTCGAGGGGTCGGACGGTTTGTTTGCTCTGCGCCACCTTCTCACGCGCCCAATTCACAACCAACCGAGTCGCCAGCAGAGGTGCATCCTACGACCTCGACTTGGCTGCCGCAGTCCTCATGGGCTGTGAACAGGAAGACGACGCAAGCACCAGGCTGCAGCGTCTCTCTGGGATTGCCCTCCAGCCCGAAGAGAACCCTTACTCTGCCCTGATCGCCGCCTGCCGCGATGACCCGGTCTGTTGACGAGCGCTTGCCCGAGAACCAAGAAACATCCGAGCACGACTGACCGGGCGTTTCTGCAGGCCGAGATGCAGCTGCTCTACTCGGTGCACCGCACGCGGCGGAATGCCCAGCAGAGGGAGGCATTCCTCGCCTCCGACTTCAAGGGCCTCGCGATCGACCAGACCTTGCTGCGGCTGGAGCGGCCAGGCGTCGAGCCCGGCTTCACAGACGAGCGGAGCTGCTTGGTGTTTTGGGCGAGGCCGCCAGATCACGTCGTCCGCCTGGCCGCCAAGCTGCAGGACTTGCTGAGCAAAGCTGCGCCCGGTTCGTTTCTGCTCCCGTCCGTCAGCTTCGCCGTGCGGACCTGGCTGCCTGGCCGCCTGGCTGACCTCGTATACACGCGCGTGTAGGCATGTGGCTGATGCCGACGCACCGGATGCACATGACCGCCCTGGAGGTGGCCTTCTCCAAGACCTCCCGCGAGATCGGGGAGCTGGTGTCTGCCCTGGGGCCCCGCGTCGCCGACATTGCGTCCTACACCCGTCTCCATCGCGCGCGGCTCGTGAAGCCCATGGTGTGCTATGACACGTCTGCCGTTGCCGTGTCCTTTGTGCCCGCGTCTGGCGAGGAGCCGCTGTCGCCGCCGCCGACTGCTCCCGACGCGCCGCCCGACGCGGTCACCCAGGGCGACGGGTATACGTACCACCACTTGCGGCGGGATCTCTTTGACAAGGTCCACGAGGCTGGGCTGCACGTCGGCTCGCGCTATCAGGTGCCCAGTGCGCACGTCACGCTGGGTCGCTTCTTGGACGGGGCCGATCACGATACGGCCGAGAAGAGGGCCGTCTGGGTCAAGGCCATCGAGGACATTAACCAGTGGTTGGAGAAGGACGTGTGGGATAACAAGCACGCCGAGTACATTGGTGAATGGGTCGTCGGCCACGAGAAGGGCTTGGACGCCAGGAGCGGCACCTTGTGGTATGGCGGTGGCAGGACGATTTTGCTGGGTGAGGGATTCTAGAATGGGTTCCCGTGTAGACGGGTTTGCTTTGACGTTGCGATAGACCGACATGGAGCAAGCGCTGTCAGGGATATGACTTGGGCAGGAGAAGGCGTGGCTTGTTCAAATGCGTCGCGACGGGTGAATGGTCGTGACTGCACCGCAAACGGACCTTCGTGGCGGTTGGTCCTCACATTGGCTTTAAAATTCATCACATGGATTTTCGCCAACGCTCGCGCCTCGATCCCGAACCCTTGACATGAAGAATGCTCTGTTTTTTTCTCTCCTCACCCATTCCCTACGAGCAACCCTGTCCTCCCCCAAAAAACTGAGGACATGTACTCTCCTTTCGCCAGCGTCCATGATAGCCCCAAATGCCGCAAGGATAACCACGAGAAATTGAGTCAACCCCCACACAATGCACCTAGAACACCAGAGCCGCACCCTTTGTCTTCTTGTCACCACTTTTTTTTTCCCACTGTCAGCATGTCTGTTGTCCGCATCCCGCGTTGTGAAGCAGTCGCGTCAAAGTTCGGAAAAGAAAAAAAGAAAAAAAAACGTACCCCAACTCGAAGTGCTTGCATCGCTTCAGGGCCAACTGGCACTTGGTCTTGCACTTGACGCACTCCAACCTCAGGACGACCTTCTTGGTGGTCTTGGCCTTCTTGTGGAAAACGGGCTTCGTCTGACCACCGTAACCTTCCTGCTTTCGGTCATACCGGCGCTTGCCCTGGGCGAACAACGAGGCCTTGCCGGCCTTGTACTGCGTCACCTTGTGCTGGGTGTGCCTGCGGCACTCCTTGCCCTTGCAGTAGGTGTTTCGGGTCTTGGGAATGTTGACCTAGTCGCAGAAAACAAAACGTCAGCCGCTGTCGTCCGCAAAGTGCCGCCCACGTCTAGACGAGTCGCCATTCTCCAGAGGCAGGTGACACGGGATGCCACCGGTGCGCGCGACGACAGGTGTCGGGAGAATTCCAAGGTTTGGTGAAATTTTGTATTCCGCGTGCAAAAGACGGCAGTGCCAGCCGCTGATGGGAAGCGCCGTCCTCCCGCCTCGCTGCGTAAATAAAGACGAGGGTTCAGCGGCCGGGCGAGGCGAAAAAGCTGTCGTCGTGCGGCGGTGGCGTATCTCGTACCGACCGATCGATAAATCAAATCACCTCGTCACTCGGGCGTGTTGAGCTTGGGGAGTCGGGAAGAATTGAGGACCTACCATCTTGACGACGTTGTGCGGTGTCGTTGCTGCGGTGGTTTGGTGATGCAAAGTTCCCCGGCCGAAATGGAAATTTGGTAGGTTTTGGTGATTTCTCGCTTTGTGGGAAACTAGGGTAAACGGCCGTGCTTGATTGGATGCTGAGGGGAGGCCGGATCCGCTACGACCTTTGGTGCCTCGATTCCCGGGCGTGCAGTCTGAGCCTTGACGGAGGCCCCGCAATTATCCTGAACAGGTTGTCCGCAGCGCCGCTGTAAGCCCGAGGATAGAAGAACCGGGAGAGTAACTACAACGTGATGTAGAGTGCAAGTCATGGGCGTGTACAAATAACGATGGAAAAACATGAATCAACTCACCCTGCTCTATTTCGGGACCGTTCTTGTACAAAAGGCTAATCCGTCCATATGAAATCCTGGAAGACTCCGAGGTCGTGCCTCCGGGGGTACGCGCTGCGGCGGCACTGGCGTAATGTCCAAAAGCAGTTAGCTCACATTCATTGGGCGAGTCGCCATGGAAAGTTGGCAAGGCCAACAATGCATGTCCCTCTCGCCAGCCTGGGAACAGACAACAAAATCACAAGACGCTGTCATGGATCCCTATTCCGCAGAAGGTGAATTGATCAACATTCACAACCATTTCCACCAGGGCCAATACCAGGAAGTGGTCGATTTCGATACCTCGTCCTTCTCTGCCGACAATGCTCTCCCCGCGCGCGTCCTAGTCCTGCGGGCTCGCATCGCACTCGGCCAAGCCGAGGATGTCCTCGCAGAGATCAAGGGCGAAACGGTGCCGGATCTTGAAGTCGTGGGTGCCTACGCCGAATATAGTCTGGGAAACACCAATGCTGCGCTGGCGACCGTGGAGAGGCTGGCCTCAGCGGCGGCTGACAATGTCACGGTCCAAGTTATAGGCGGGACTGTCCTGCAGGCTGCTGGCAAGTCGGAGGAGGCCGTCGCCCTGTTGTCACAACACCAAGGAAGCCGTATGTTGTTTTTGGGAGCGCTCGAGTCATTGATTGAACGGAAAAGCTGACACGACGAGGTAGTGGAGGCTGTCGCCTTGATTGTCCAGATCCATCTTCAGCACAATCGAACCGACCTCGCGATCAAGGAAGTTACCGCCGCCAGAAGATGGGCACAAGACAGCTTGTTGGTGAATCTTGCCGAGTCCTGGGTTGGACTGAGAGTGGTTGGTGGCGACGTCTTTTCCCCCGAGACGAAAGCCGCGTGAAGCTGACGGGGTCGTAGGGCGGTGAGAAGTACCAGCAAGCATTCTACGTCTACGAGGAGCTCGCCCAAGCTCCCTCAACGACTTCGATACGGAGTCTCGTCTCACAGGCCGTCTGCGAACTACATCTCGGTCGCTTGGAGGAAGCACAAGTCGCGCTGGAGCAGGCCTTGAAGAAGGACCCGGAGTACATTGAAGCCATTGCGAATATGCTGGTTTTGACTGTAATTTCCGGCAGAGATGCATCCGAGTATGCTGCGTACGTCCATCATTCTTCAGGAATCTCATTTCATTGGTCTTTAGTTTGTGGTACTAATCGGAGCAGGTCACTCAAAAAGGCCGACCCCAATCATGCATTGCTGGTTGATTTGGAGGGAAAAAGCGCCTTGTTCGACCAGGCGGCAACCAAGTATCGCGCAAAGGTGTCTTCGTAGAGCATGTCTGTCAGGTCGACATCTATGAGCATAATGAAATAGACGCGCACGGCTGCGCGGATTAAAAGTATCGAATGGAATACGGCAACTTCACCCTGGACGTGATTGTGCCTTGTAACACGAGGCCCTTGATCAAATGGGCACCACGGCGACTCACCTTGCTCTTTCCGTAAACGTCAATGACTATTCAGAATGGATACAAAATCTTCCAATGTCCAATATACCCTCGTTGTGTTCGATTCAGCCTAGGGTAGCACCTAAGCCAAACTTTGCGGAGCCAGTATTCGTGACTTGTTGTTTGTCGTCTCCTTCAAAGAAATCATCCAAGTCCGACATGGCTCGCTCCAGGGATGACAGCGCCTGACTGTGCCTCCTTTGGGAAGACGTGACTATCGTCGCTCTGGATTGTCTAAACTAGGAGCGTGTTTTCAAGGTCAGCGCTTCAGCGACTACACTAGCAAGCCTCTTGACCGCCATGGCATCGGACCTAACCTGAAACTGGATTCGTCTGCCACCGATCCCTGGCCATTTCCATTTCGCTCAGGAGGTGCACGTTCGAGCTCGTCATCCGAGATGGCCAGGTAAGAGCGGACGTTATCCTAAAACGTCCCCACCTCTTCCGGATCTCGCTGGATGAATGGAACTACTTCACGGCCACCCGACTTCGTCATTGCGGCGTCGTGCTCTCTGGCTTCAGACCCCTTCCTACTGTGCCTCGAGCCGTCTTGTGGCCCTCTTGAAACGTCGGGTGCTGATGGCCGAGAAGAAGAGCCGACTATCGAAATGTTTGGTCTCTGATGTTCCGATGACGGTGGCTTCTCGGGGTCCAGGCACCTCACTAGGGGCGCGTTTGTGAAGTAGTTCTTGTACTTGAGAAATGTCAACGAGTAATCTTCGACATCGCTTGCCCCAGAAGCACTGTGGCTGCGGCTCTGGAACTCATGGAAAGTTGATACAGAGCCTGCGGAGAGATCGCGTGTCATGTCAACGGTGTTCGTTCGTGGGGACCATGGCTGACTATTGGAGGAGGACTCTAGCCAGGCGACAATGGATTTGACTGATCGGCAGCCGTTTCTGTCCGGGACAACTTTGAAAGGAGTCCGCATGTCTTGTTGGGAAGTTGTCGATGAAAAGCCGTTGGACGGTGGCTTGACGGGTTCAGGCGTGTTGATTGTCGTGTCCATGGTGATGGGTGATGCTTGAGAACTGTCACGGTAAGGCAAGGGTGCTCTCCATTTTGTGGATTGCGAGAGAAGCTGTTTGTTTCACGACAAGACCAATGGCTCTAGGAACTGGCCACAAAAATAAAAAACCGGCCGTTGCCAGCTGGCATGACTGTCGCCGTGAACCGTTACGACTGCAGCGAAACCGAGTGCACAGTCCGCTTGCCAAGCGGGTTACGTGGCTCAGGGCAGAAACGTATGTTTAGTTGGTCAATTTCCTTTGATGCGGATATTTTTCTCTTCTGCTCGCTCTATACCCAGTCTATAGGCTCCCACGTTGCCTCCGGAACCCCGTGTTCCCGGACCCGGTTCAATCAAGGATTCAAACGATTCAAACTCAGATGCCCCAGCCATTCGCTATAATTGACGTCGTGGATAAACATTTAATTTATCTTTTTTTTATTACTTGCTTCTCTGGCCCGTCAAGAATTATGTCGTTACTTCTTGTTAGGAAACTTGGGAGCGCCAATGTCGGCGCCACGCAATTTGACGTTCAGCACACGCTCCATGCTCGCGAGGACCTTTTGATCGGGAGCGGCAGATCCTCGTTCAAAGTCGGCAACAATGCCCTGTGTGGTGTTGCATCGGGTCGCGAGATCCTTTTGTGTCATCTTGGGCTCCATCTTTAGTCGTGCGGCGGAGATGGTGTCGCCCACCAGCTTGCCAACAGTGTTGGGCTTGATAATGTCGTCGGATCGGTCGACCTTGGTCAAGCGCTGACCCTCAGCACCGGCAGCCTGTTCCATGCGACTTTTAGTTACACTACTTGAGCGGAGTCACCGCGTATATGACTTGTCCATGACAAGGTGAAGCCTCAAGGCAGCCGCGGTGTCATGTTGCGCCAATGGTCCGCGCGGACCATGGCAGAGTATGGTTACGTACAGCGTTGGAAGAAGCATACTTCTTCTCGGTGCCGACAACAGCGCCGCTTCGTGCGGCAGCGTTCAAAGCACTCTTGCCACGGATGACAGTCTCGCGCTGCGAGGCACCAGGACCACGGGTCTTGCTGCCAATCTTGGTGACTTGGTCCCAGTCAGACATGGTGAAAGACGGGGGACTAACGAGATCGCGAAGGCGGCGAGGATGCGGTATGAAGAAGAACGAAATGTGCTTGGCGGCTGCGCTAATTCAATTATCCAGAAGGGATTCGGGTGCGTTCCAACGTGGTGAGTCTGGTGACTATTGCAGGTCTGTGTGACGGGACAAGTCTGGTTCTCCGGTTGGGAGAGTTGAAGTAACGTTATATGGGGACGATGAGCGTATGAGGTGGACTCGAGTCAATCGGCGAAGGCGAAGATCAAGGGCCCTTAGTGGATAAAGCGCCACTGTGGCTTAGATGGAAGGTGCTAGAGACCTGCTGCCGTGCTCAAAACGATCCAGACTCAAGTGCCTGGCGGACCCACAAGAGCACAAAGACTTGAGACACTTTCAGCGGATGACTAGCCGCTGTAAATTTGCGCGCGGGCCGCTGAACGCGCTGGAACTACGTACTTCTCAAGTAATTCCTGCCAGCGCGGATGCCCCCTGTTGCCACCGGCACAGCATGTGGTCGCTGCGCTGCTGGTTGCGGTTCATTTGTATTGACATCATGACATCTGGCGGCACCTTGATGGCTCAACAGCGTGACGGATCAACTCGTCGCGGCCCGCCTTTCAGCGAGGGCAGCGTTTTCAAAGCTCTCCTCCTCCATCCTCACATTCCTGCTCTCTTGTCCTCTCTCACCCTGGGCGGGCTTGCGTACGCCCGACCAGTTCTAGGCACGGGAGTGTCATAGTCCTGTCCCGTTTCCGTTTCCGCTCCTACCATGGATGGAGTGTTTGAAGAATCGTCATGGTCACAGATAATTCAAATCATTGATGGAGCCGACCGCATCCTTCACCGTGGACCTCATCTATTTCTTGCGTTTGCCCTTGTTTCACTGTATTATGCGTTGGTGGGAAGCTGGCTGGACCTACTTCTCAGCGCCGCTGCTATCGGTCTTGGACATCACCGTGCCCTTCTGACGTTTACATCCTACTTTGGAAGATCCTTGTCTACTGTTACGATATCGATTGCTGGCGCCATTGCTATAGGCCTCGTGTCAATTCGTCGCTTCTTAAACCCGAACCCGGTTTTGAAGGGTCCCGCGCAGCCATATTTGATACCTTGCAAGACAACTCACACACGGCTATTCCCCAAGAAACATGCATTTGGATATTCTTATTTGGTCGTGGGAATACCCGTGGGAAGCACTGGTGACTTTCATGGGATTTTGACGATTGATTATCAATCCTGCGGCTCCTGGGATCTCTTGAGCAAGTTGTTTCGAGGCGGATGGTACACTGTGAACAATGCCGATTATTTGCAAAGGGGCGTCAGCGCTCATGGGCTTCGAGGTAAGTTGGATGAGTATCTCAAGTCTCAGGTAAGACTCCATGGACAAAATGGCCCGTCAATAGTGAAGCAATAAGCTGAGGAAAAGTAGGGTGTCGAGCCGTCTGTCTTTCCTCATGCTTACCTAGTTACTGCTGCAAGGTTCCTCGGCTACCACTTCAACCCGGTTTCTTTCTGGTATCTGTATTCAGAGGACAAGATTCTGTCTGCCATGGTGCTCGAAGTAAACAATACGTTTGACGAGAGACGTCCATATCTGCTTTGCGGATTCTCACCTGGTTCCCAGCATCACACGGGACCAGGGCGTGAGGATACCACACCGTCTCGCGTGAAAGGTTCTTGGGCGAAGGATTTTCATGTTTCGCCATTCAACTCGCGAAAGGGAGCGTACTCATTGACCGCGAGCGATCCACTTGGTCCCGGGATGACAGGTTTTCGCGGCATTGACATTACCATCAACCTAAGCTCCTCGAAAGGCCATTCCAAGCTGGTTACTAGACTTGTTTCGCAGGGAGAAGCTATCCACCCGGCTTCCATGGGCCCAGTAGCCGAAATGAGATTTCTGTTGAGGTGGTTTTGGGTTGGATTTGCAACCTTGCCAAGAATCGTCAAAGAGGCTGCGACACTTTTCTTCAGGCGCGAGCTTCATGTATGGTACAGACCTGAACCTCGCAAGGAAAGCCTTGGGAGACATGCGTCAAAGACAGAACGACAACTCGAGGTCGCCTTTCGCAGCTACCTGAAATTCCTAGTTGAACAGTGCCAGAAATCCATGTCGGTCAGGTATGTCTCGAGTGGGATCCTCTCGAACCTGGAGGAGACATTCACGTCACCTTCCCGGGACGGCTCAGTCGAAGAAGATGGAGGGACTCTAGAACTCAAAGTCCTCACGCCACTTTTCTATACCCGTTTCGTGCATTATGCGCACGACTTCGAAGCTGTCTTCACTGAATTCATGGATAGTGCTACCATTTGGGTGAGCAAGCCGCATCTGTTGCCAGACTTGTTTTTAAAGAAAGCTTCACCGACTCTGCAATCCGCCAGTATGATGGACTACTTGTCACTCACATTAATACGAATTTTGCGGCGTCGACCAGATAGGATCCCCAGCGTTTCGACATCTGCGGACACCAAGACGGATGAGCCCTCGATTGTTGATATTCGAGACTTTGGGATTTCTTCCATGGACGCTTACATTCTAGAACATGCTCAGCCGACACTCAAGGCAACATATCGGTCAACCCTGCTCCGCATGTTTGTCGCTGACCACTTGGCCATGGGCAACGTGGCCTTGTTGGAATTTTGCATCCTCCTCTGGAGAATTGGAATTGCTTCAGCTTGTGCGACAGTATTGAGACAGGTGGCAACCTATTTGCGGTGACGTGGAACGGGTCCGGCCCGAACGTTGCACAAACCTGGCCCTTGCTACCGAAAAGGACCTATCTGTATCCGTATCTACAGAGTAGGGGCGATGGTTCGAGACATGCCGCAGTATCCGTAATGTCGACATCGACGGCATCGGCAAAAATGGAGCGTTGGCCCAATTCGGCTTCTATCCTTCCAAATAGTCGGCAGACAAATACTTTGCGCATGGAAACGAGCCAATGCCAAGTCGACTGTCACGCCCGCCCGTGGCATGTGTGATGTGCCAGCCGAGTCGAGCAATAAAAACACAAATACTCGGGGCAAACGAAACACTCGCTGTACTCCGTACGGAGTATCATGTACCCATCCATCTCGTTTGCATCGGCGAACATCTCAGACCGCATCGTCTCTTGCCTCCCAGGAAAAATGCCGCAGGCATCGCCAGCAAGCCGGATGAGACAATAACGAACCGGCCCATCACCTCCACATCCAACATGCGCAAACCGCCTAAACAAAGCAGATCGCAAAAGGCATCCACGTCATCTGCCCCACCGGAGCTTCTTTGCAACCAGCAGCTCAAGCTATTGTCGTCGAGCCGTACTGCGACCGGAGGTATCCATCCCATCAGGCAGCCCGGCCTATCAAGTCGTCACTTACCCCACCATTGCGGCAAGCCTTTTGGCGGTATAAAGAGTCGAGAACAGCCCGCCGCGACGCATTTTGCTCCTCCCGCCATTCCTCGCAGCAAATCTCATCCTCAGACGCTCGATCCAACTCTGTATCTACTTCCCCAAGACAGGCCATAGGTCAGACTGCGACGCCGCCCAAAATGCCTCTCTCCGGACACTGCCTCTGCAAAGCCGTCACCTACTCGGCCGACGTCGAAGCTCCCATCCTCACGGGCTACGACCACTGCGACGACTGCCAGCGCCAGAGCGGCTCTACCTACTGTACGTGCCGACTCGCTCTCGCAGTCAACCTGAACATGGAGCCCTCGTCTCCAATCCTCCCTCCGCAACCCGCCGCGCCGCACTCCCACTGACCACAATCTGCCTGCAGCCCTTGTCGCCGTCGTCCCCAAAGACAAGCTCACCATCAATGGCCCCGTCAAGAAATGGACCGGCAAAGGCTCCTCCGGAAAAGACGTCCATCGCCTTTTCTGCTCCGAGTGTGGCTCCCCAATTGCCCATGACCCCGACGCTGCTCCCGAGATCATTGCTCTAAAGGCCGGTACTTTGGACTCGGAGCTCAAGAAGAATCTGAAGCCGGTAGGTTGCAGTGCTCCCCCGTCCCCTCATCAACGGACTGAAGTGCCACAGTGAGCTAATGCGTTTCAGGACACTGAAATCTGGACAGTCGGAAAGCTGCCATTCTGCCAGGAGCACTTGGCCAAGCCATTCAAACACATGCCTGAGTAGTGTTGGCATTTAGTCGAGGGATGAAGAGTGCCGCGGTGATGTATTAATAAATCAATGTTCAAAATCGTTGGCGAAACTGCGACGGAAAAGTAACAGGCTCAACTCTGTCCAAAATCCAAAGTAAATCGCGACACTTGGGCTTCGAATTGACTCGCTTGGGGACATGTTTGCATCTCGGCTGGTCTGACACTGAAACCAGCCACATTGTGTGAGGCCAATCATGTTGCGGCGAAGCTGTGATGTTTGGGACCTCTGATGACACAAAACGAAAGCAGGCAGGTGGCATCAACATGAAATTAGTATTATTCTCAAGTAGACTGTACTGATACACCTCAAGCTCCATCACCGTTGCCAGTACCTCGTCTCATCATTAACAACAGCTCCTCCCGCCTTTCCAGCGCATGAGCACCCTGCTTATAAAGCCAGGACCAGAGCAGCTCCCACAACAACCATTATTGCCATGCCAGCTTCTTGTGCCGGGGAACCGCCGGCAGAGGTAGATGAGGATGGCCTCGTAGTGCTGGCAGTCTCAGATGAGGATCCAGATGCTGTCTGCATTGGTGTATTCCTGTTGTTTTCACCACTTGTGTTCGAGACCGTCAGGTTAGTAGCGGTGGGATTCGAGACACGTGTGGCTGTGGCGTCGGCACCGGCGATGGCACCAGGGCCTTGAGGACCGGTAGCTGTATAGTATAGGCTAACGTCCGTCTTGCCGGGGAACTTATCCGAGGATATGGTATCACCGGTGGTGACAGCAGGGGCGTCACGCGTGTTGGCCTGAACAGAAGAGAAAACAGCCGAAAAGGCGGCAGTGGGACTGCCCTGGCAAAAAGAGCTCGAAGCAACAGAAAGAACATTTCCCCAGTAGGCGTGATCACGAGCACTACGGAGTCCATGAACGAAGAGACAGTTCTGAAAACCACGCCAATCCTCAAAGTAGCTGCCCTGGCACATGCATTGAACGTGATCATTGTAGTTGACTGGCTCAGTGCTGTTGTTGGGCTGACAAGCGGCCTCGATCTGGCCGATGGAAACGCAAGGTGGGACGGTACCGGAGCCGTCGACTTCGGGATAGCAAACCTTGGCCCTATTTTCATCACCCGTATCATCAGCATCGGCCCGGACAGCCATACGTGAAGCTGTAGCCGGGAGCAAGAGGGCGGTTGAGACCACGAGGAACTTGAAGCAGTGCTGCATGGTGCGGAAATTGCGAGCTGTGAAGGGGTATTGGATAATTGGTGGTGATCCAAGGTAGAAAAAAAAAAAAAAAAAAAAAAAAAACTGCAAAATTGAATCGATGCCTGTTAAGTTTGGGGGGAGGGGAGCAGTAAGATGCAGTGACATGGAAGAAGAAAAGAGAAGAAAAAGGTTCCACGAAGAAAAAGGGGCGAGGGAAACCAAAGGGGGGGGCGACGACGAATTGCCATTTTTGCTGCCAGGCCCATCCGAGTTCTGTTTGGAACGTCTCGTGGATGCTCCTGCCGAAGAGTGAAGCGGATATCACGTCTTGGCGTCGCTTGGCCGTGCAGGCACGACTACGGAGTAGTACTCTGTAGTCTGGACGACGTTGCGCCGAGCTGGCGAGGAAATGGGCATCTACATGTACGGACGCCAAGAATGGAACTTTGCACCTATTGGAGGAGCGAGGTTCAAAGCATGAGTCAACTCGCGTGCCTGGGTAAGTAAATAATAAATGCCTGTCAATGCCCACCATCTGGACATGACTCAAGTACGGAGAAGCCAAGTTCGTAGCACATCAACTTGCGGCACTTGTTTGAACACGGCCGGCTCGTCTCGCGCCAAAGCCGTGAAATGTAGTTGCCAGACAGAAAGCTTAATCTTGCAGCCACGCGACGCGGGAACCTTGCATCGAGATTCCAGGCCGTTGGTCCGGATCGCCGCGCCCACTACTCGATACGGATTATCAAAAGGAACCCGGCATGGTCTTGCGGCTAGTCATCGGCAGACATGGCCTTTGGTCATTCTTCTATAAAGGGGCAGTACAATTTCCATGTCACGTCCTCCATTGGTATCAGTCATGGCTTCTGCCAAAGTCGTCAACGGTGTGTCGTATCTCATATGGCATAGGGACCCCCCTTTATGTAGGTCTTCGCCTCTAGTCCATCAATTATTTCTTCCCTTCGGCTAGCTACCACATGGAGCTCAGTAACAAAAGCGCTGTAGCAATCAAAACACAGGCTGAATAGTTCTTTGCGGCCGACGACTGTTCTGGGGCCTGCTTCTGTACTCTGCCAGTCTCCGTGGACGCGGCCGTGAAACAGCTTGCTGCACCACACGAGTACCCAGACGGGCAGCAACCAGCTGCAGGACCGGCATCTGGTTCACACAGAAACCATCCACCCGCACATTTTGGGCTGCCCGAAGATTTCGGCAAAAGGCCTGTGGCAGGAATGGCAGGAACAACAATGGTGGCTCCGTTGGAGACAACTGTCGATGAGGATGGAGGCGGACATGAGTATGTATGACAGTCGCGGTCAGTTTGACAGCACCCTCCGCCATGGGTGGCGAGACATCCGTAGAAGCCTGTTGGACAGCCGGGCTGTGTAGCAACTGTCTTGCTCTCTGAGGCTGACGTGATCTCGGAAGAGCCAGTTGGCCGCCAGGGAGGATTTCCTGTGGCAGAGCCGGTATTGGTGTTGGTACCAACCGCGGTGCTTGTGCTGGGTGGTGTCACCACCTGTGTGGAAGTTTCTGTCGTAACTTCTGGGGAAGCAGTTTGAGTAACTGTGACGATGACTGTGGTTGGATTTCCTGCAATCACTGTCGTTCTCGTTGATGTGACGGTTTCTTGCGGTTGGGATGTCTGAACGCCGGTGGCAGGCGTCGCCGATGCGCTCGGCACACCTGCAAACTGGAGATGAGCATGTAGTTCTTGGTCAAGAGGACGAACAATAGACGGGGAGGACCTACATCCCACACCTTGGCAAACGTATCCTGGTATGCAGCAACCACCACCCAAAGCTGCTGCACAGCTTGTTGCGCCAGACGGGCACTTTGCTACGCCTCCACCGCATGCTGAGCCATTAGGGCAACAAGCGACATGACCTACGTCGGTGTCGGGCACATCAGTGCAATAGGTTCCTTGTTGACAGCACTTGTTGGGCGAGCCCTGCGGAGCACAGCTGTTCATCCCGGAAGGACACGATGATCTCCTTTCCAACAAAGCCAGGGCTTCTGCCGCACGCCGTAAAATATCATCTTCGGTTTTGTCGAGATGCTTGACGAACGGAGGGGAGAATGGAGAGGTGCCATTGATGTCCTGATGTCGTCCATATGGCGGGGAATCGACGGAAGACCCAACTACTGGCCCAACTCGGAAGAGTGGTGCAAATGCGAGGTGCTCTCTCAATATTTTTTCGCTCGAGCCTGGAGACTGCTTCTTGATAGCCGTTGGGAAGGGGAGATTGTCTGCGAGAGCTTGTGAGACGGAAGCGAAGAGTGAGGCGGGAAGCAGGAGAAGAGTCGATGCAGGAGCCATTGTCACGGTAGTCGGTTGTATGCGCCTCAAGGAAATTAGGGTGTGCGCCCAATAAATGGTGCTCAATCTGAAATAGCTATCAAAAATTTTGCCTCCAACATCTTGAGATATAAGATGCAAGGAAGTGAGTTTTGGGGATGCAGGATGTTTGACGATTGACGACAAGTTTTGAACTTGTGTGTGGCTGGGGAAACCAAGTGCATCACAGAGCACGCAGTAGAGTAGCCAGGCCCCGACAGAAGCAAGGGTGGCTGAGAAGTCTTCGCATACTCCGTAGGCAACATTTGATGCCGTTGCACTCTGTATACTTGAGAGTAAAAGTTGACGACCTAGGTACTCCGCACTGCTGCTGCTTGCTGCTCTGCTGCATCTCTAGCTGGACATTGGAGCTTGCATCAATCATCTGGAATGCTGCGTCGTCGTCATCGTCAGACATCAGAATCGACAACGAGTGTGGGCGCTCGCCGCTAGCTCAAGTTGAGCTTTGGCGCCAATGTGTTGACTTTTATTAGGCACCGCCCTACGGAGTACCCAGCAACACCCATCTGGTTGCCCCGGTGCTTTTTGCCCGTGCGAGTCAGGTCAATCAATACATGGCAGCTCGCTGAGTCATCATCGGTTATAAGCGGGCATTACCTAGGGGCTGTAGTTACAAGGTTTGTGTATGTGAATTATCTACGTGTATATAGTATATACAGGGAGAGATATGGTAGATTCATGTATCCAGCACTCCTCAGAAGAGACGTTCGCTCGTTTCCCCTTCTGTCGCTTCCCTCTTTGGCGAGTGGGCCGTTTGGATTTGGTTCACGCGCTCCTTGTTGCTTGCCGAGCCTCTTACAAACGAGTGGCAGAGCAATCCAGCAGCAACACCAACGTTTAAACTATCCACAGAACTTTCCTGGACAAAGCGGGGGATCGAAACCTCAAAGTCCGCCGCAACCTTGACTTGTCTTGGCAGACCATGTCCCTCATTCCCAAGCACTAGCACGCAAGGGTGTTGGTCCAGGGGGCCCGTCTGCTCGACATGGCGCGTCGATATAAACTTGTCTCGGTGAATTTTGAGCAGCTTCGACTCTGGAGGCGCCACTGCTGCATAAATCTTCCACCCGGCCGCTCTAGAGCCCTCCAGGAACTCGATAGGCGAGTCGACTATGAATATGGTGACTTCTTCGGCTGCGCCTGCCGCTGACTTGAGTACGACAGGCGTCAGGGCAGATGAGTTGCGGCTGGTTATCGCAACAGCGTCTACGCCCATGTAGCTAGCAGTGCGAAGCAACGCACCAAGATTCCCTGGGTCCAAGATTTCATGTAGAAGAAGTACCAACGGCTTAGTCGCAGAATTATTTGCCTTGCGAACAAATGTATTCTCTCCATTGACGGCCTTTTGTTCCTTGGTCTGATGCACGAGCTCAATGTGGAACCCTAGCTTAGAAGGCGTCTCTTCTAACCTGCCCAAGGATTTCACGGGTACCTGCGGCAGAGGTGACGTCTCCAAGACGAGTCCGTTGTGTGGACGGCCCATGCTCATCTTGTCCATTAATCGCTGGTCTTGTTTGGGCACTATAGTCAAGGGGACACCGCGCATCTTGGCGAGCTTGATTGTGGCCTCATTGTCCTCAACACCTCTATTGTTCTCTCCGTCGTAGACGTAAAGTCTGTAGAATTGGCGCCTTCCATGTTGGAGCGCTGCCTTGACAACGGATCGTCCGTATAGGAATTGTGATGCCGCAGTATTGTATGTGATAGTCATGGGTAACAGGCCACCTTTCCTTGGTCTCGCTGTGGGATCGTCGGTAGAGTATTCTAATTGATTTTCCATTCGTGGCTGACCTTTGTGCAGGTGCAGTGATCGTTGGTGGGGTTGTAAGTCGCGAGAACTTCGTGGAGGCAGTCCGTCCTTGTCATGAACGTCTCGCGGCCGAACCGGTTGCTCCAGGTCTAGGGAGGCCGCCGTTTTCTTTAACAAGCCATGCTTCAATTGATAAACCAAACTTTTTTTCCCGAAAGAGAATTCCGGGTCAAGAAATCGCTTCCTCCGAGTCTGCCTACCAACCTCGCACTCGTTGCCCATATCCAAAGTTTTGCGATCAAGCTTTTTCCTAAGCTTTTGCTGTTGCCTCCTTGATGAAGTGCCATTTAGAGCCTTCGCTGTTCGCCCAATTCGACTATATTGCTGACCGCTCTCAATGCGCGCTGTCTCCGAGGAACGAGACTCGCCAAGTTGCGCTCGTTCGGATCGTTTTAGCCCTCGATGGATAGAGGATAAGCTTGCGCACCGGACGAACGGGGCAGCGACAAATACTGAAGAGGTATATAAAGATTTACACAACATGAAGCGTGGATGACCAGCTGGCAATCTCGTTGCGCTTATCATGGCTAGTCAGCCACATTAGCCAGGATGCTGTGAGCTTCAAGCATGTGATGAAATTTGTCTGCCTCCATTGCCTTGATGTAGTCCGGGTCCTTGTACTTTTTCTGCCGCGACCTTCAGGGATGATGGAAAGCGGTGAGGGCTAATTTGCCCTTGGTGATTGGCTTAGTTCCATGCCGGAGCCACCTGGCAATCGCCAGCATACCATTTGACTCGCGTGATGACACACTCAACAATACTCTCGTTCTCATGACTGTAGACTGGAGCATGAGAACCACCACGATTTCTGCATTCCCGTGGAACCGCAGTAGGTACGAGATTCAGCGGAAGGGCGGCGGACCCAGAACCTCAGCATCAACCTATTACAGCTATACTTAGCGGGCCCCGCGGAAGTCGTCGTCGGTATTGACGACGGCCTACAATGGAGGAGGGCGATGACACATTGCCTACTGGCTACCAGGCAGCAGACTCGAGCTCTGATAATAATGTGTTACAGGATAAGATTTCCTTTGACTTTTCAGCGGACCAGTCCAGCTACGGGAGTTCATCACAGGACGATTCCGACGGCCTAATGGTACCCGAGAAACCCTACCGGGAGCCCGAAGCAGCAAAGCACTCAGCCAATCGCGCGGTATCAGAGCCTCGAGTCTCTCCGGATGAAAATGGAAGCGACTTGTCGCTGGTCGTTTCTGTGGAAGCCGCAAGGCAACCATCATTAGCCGACCCGGACACAAGGGCAACGCAAGCTCAGGACACTGATATTTTGCGGCGTCGCCAGAAGCTTCAGGTTTCTTTGCCTTTTATGGAGTTGGATGCCCGAGATCAATATGAAGAGGTGCATAGCAACACCATCGAAAGGGTATTGGACCTGAGGGCTTCGGGAGATGATGACGAGCTTTTGGCAGTGGAGCTGACAGATGGAACACAATGCGTGGTATGTAACACAACTTTTGTGGTGAATACTTTTTATGGTTCAACACTGAGTGGCCTCACCTCACAATTTTCTCGCTTCTTTGTTACCAAAAGACAATCGTATCAAGGCATCTCCTGATCTCTCACTCTCCTTTCACTTTAACTTGGCATGTGTTGGTCCTCGCATTTCCGTATAAGGTGACAGCTCATCAACAGACGCTCAAAAATTGGCTCCAAAAAATAGCTGCTTTATTCCCTCTAGTTAGTGCGAAGTGGGATGAAACATGCTTCTAACATGCCATTGACACGCACCAACACCACAACTGAGGCCGCTTGATTTTTGTTGCAATTGCTAACGCTGCCTCAAGATCCCTTTGGTAAATCTGGAAACATTCGAAAACGGCCCCGAGGCTCTTGAAACCTACTTTATGGGAATGGAACGTGCCAAAAGGAAGCGCAAGGCTGCGGCTAAGGATTATTGGGAATCTGGCAGCAGCTCCAACAGCTCAGCTTCAGACGCCATGGACCTAGACGCCGATGTGGACGCCGAAGAACCCGATGAGCTCATCGCAACTGCCCGCAGGTCTAGGCGATGGACTCGAGAGCCAACAGCATTGAGGAATGCGACTGTATCAAACCCAGAAGCTAGTGACGAGTCTGATGTGGCTATGTTGGACACTCGCCGACGTAGCCTTCGCCAGAGACCAGCAAGGCCCCCACAGGTCTCGTTTCAAGAGGCAGAACTTGACAGCTCCCCCGGAAACGCAAGAGATGATGATGATGATGGCGACGACTATATTGTGCCAGTGGTTTCTGACCTCGGCAACTCTGGACGCAGAACGACAGGGTCCAGGCTGCGCTCTCGACGACGTTTGGTTCAAAAAAGTGCGCTCGCAAGATCTGGCGACTCTGATATAGAGTTTGAGCAACCCAGGAGATCGTCCCGGGCTACGCGAAATGTCAAGTATATGCAAGATGACTTTGACTTGGACGAAGACTCGTTCACTCGAGTTGAAAAGCTCGGAATTCCAAAAATCGTCTCAGTCAAGGAACTTTTTCGACCTGTTCCGCTGGATTCTCCATTTGCAATTGTACACAGAAATACGTGTCACACCTGCGGTAGTGCGAATCAACGAAGCCAGATTATCTACTGCCAAGGTTGTAGTTATTCTTATCACAAACATTGCATCGGTCCTCGAAGTGCACGGGAGCATCTTGTTTCCAAAATAGGAGAAGCGGATTTTGTGTTGCAGTGCCGGTTCTGCATTGAGATTCACAAGAAGAAGGATCCCCTAGCTCCACGCCGTTCCGTTTGCCAATTGTGCAAGACAGCCGGTCTTTCTTGCTCTCCGTTTTCACAAAAGCAGACAGCTCGACAAGAAGAGAAATTGAGGAAACAGAACGGCGGAGTTGATCCCGTCACCAATATACCAAAGGAACTGGTAAACAACTCGAAAAATGTCCTCTTCCGCTGCACCAGCTGTAACCGAGGTTGGCACCAGCATCATTTACCCTCGATCGGCAGCCCGAGTCCCGGGCGAGAGCAGGCGGTTGGGGCACTTAAGGATTACTCCATCGACTGGCAGTGTAATGAATGCGCTATGGCGCAACAAAAGATTCATCGGCTCGTAGCCTGGCGAACGGCTCCCACAGCCAGCACAGAACGTCAAGCTTTTGCGCAGCTCTCTGATGATGACAAGGAATATCTAGTCAAATGGGAGGGCGTGTCATACTTTCACTGCACATGGATGCCGGGGGCTTGGATATTCGGCGTTGCGGCTTCTGTAATGCGAACAGCTTTTGCAAAGAAAGCCCTGGAAGTCGACCTATTCAAAACTAACATGACAGAGGCCATCCCCGATGAATACCTCATGATCGATATTATTTTCAGGGTAAAACTGGATCCTGATTCATCAAGAGCCGACTCCAGAGAGGAAGAGATAGATAATCTCCCGCACATCAGCAAGGCACTAGTCAAATTTCAGGGTCTTGGGTACGACGATGTGGTATGGGATAAACCACCAAAGACTAGCTCGGCTGTCCTTTACAACGCCTTCGAAGCCGCGTACAAAGAATACCTTGCTGGGAAGTACTTTAAACATTCTCCGCAAAACAAGATGAAGCAGCGCATAAAAGCATTCAAAGAGGAAGAGCTAGAGGAGGTCGAGGTTCAGCCAGCTGGACTCGCGAGGGGAAAACTGATGGGATATCAGCTGGAAGGTCTGAATTGGCTATTGAGTAACTTTCACTACGGGCGAAGCATCGTATTAGCAGACGAAATGGGACTCGGCAAAACTATTCAGGTCATCAGTCTGGTGGTGTATCTAGTGCAAGATAAACCGAAGGTAAGCAATCAGTCGCTTTCTATAAAGTCTCCACCGACTTACTCATGTATAGTGTTGGCCATTTCTTATTTCGGTCCCAAATGCAACATGCCAAAATTGGCGGCGAGAATTTAAACAGTGGGCGCCGGAGCTGCGAGTCGTCACCTATCATGGGGGCAAAGAGTCGCAAGACCTTGCATACAAGTACGAACTATTTCCATCTGGATCACGAGAGATGGCTGCGCATGTTGTCATCATGTCGTACGACTCCACTCAGGACCCAAAAACTAGTCAACGATTCAGTTCTGTCAAGTGGGCAGGCCTAGTTGTCGACGAGGGCCAGCGACTCAAGAATGATCGCAGCCTGCTCTACCAGGCGCTGCGTGTTATGAAAATCCCATTCCGGCTGCTTCTGACTGGAACCCCGTTGCAGAACAACAAAAGGGAATTGTTCAACCTCATTCAATTCATCGACCATTCGCAAAGTGCCGAGAAACTTGACGAGGAGTTCCAAGTTCTCGATAAGGAGACTCTTCCGAAGCTTCATGACAAGATTCGTCCTTACTTCCTGAGAAGAACCAAGGTTGGGGTACTCAAGTTTTTGCCCCCAATGGCCCAGATCATTTTACCGGTTACAATGACGGTCATTCAAGAGAAGCTCTCAAAGAGTATCATGGCAAAGAACCCACAGCTCATCAAGGCAATCTTTGCCAACAGTAAGGTGAACAGGAAGGAGCGAGGATCTCTCAACAACATTCTGGTGCAGCTTCGCAAGTGCCTCTGCCACCCTTTCATGTACTCGGAAGCAATTGAAGAAAAACACGACGACCCAGCCGTCATCCATCGCAATCTCGTGGAAGCGTCGGCAAAGCTTCTGCTCCTGGAACAAATGCTTCCGAAGCTCAAGGAGAGAGGACACCGGGTTCTGATCTTTAGCCAGTTTCTCCAGCAACTAGACATCATAGAAGATTTTCTGACTGGCATTGGCTATCAGTACAGACGGCTCGATGGACAGCTTTCAAGCTTGGAAAAGCAGCGTCGCATCGACGCTTATAACGAGCCAGGCTCTGAAATTTTTGCATTCTTGCTGTCAACACGGGCAGGGGGTGTCGGCATCAACCTGGCCACCGCGGACACGGTTATCATCATGGATCCCGACTTTAATCCACACCAGGACATTCAAGCTCTATCACGAGCCCATCGCATTGGTCAGAAGCAGAAGGTGCTTTGTTTTCAGCTTATGACCAAGGACACTGTTGAGGAGAAAATCATGCAGGTTGGCAAAAAGAAAATGGCCCTTGACCACGCACTGATTGAAAGTATGGATGATGACGATGTTGCCGGGGATGACTTGGAGATCATCCTGTCTCACGGTGCTCAAGCATTATTCAGCGATGATTATCAGAAAGGTGCCATCAAGTATGATGGGCCCTCGATTGACAGACTTCTAGACCGATCTCAAACCGAGCAGACAAGAGTTGATGAAGAAGGGTCTGCGGAGGCTCAATTCTCCTTCGCCAAGGTTTGGTCAAACGATAAAGCAAGCCTAGAGGATGAATTGGAAGCAGCTGCCGAGACAGATGCCCCGGAACCTATCTCTTCCAGTGTCTGGGACAAGATTCTGGCGGAAAGGGAAGCCGAGGCTCGCCGTCACGCCGAAGCAAACAAAGAAAGGCTGGGAAGGGGAGAAAGACGCCGAACTGTATGCATTTTTGAAAGCCCCCTCAAGCTCGTTGCTAACACCTGCAGACCAATACCTACAAGCCCGATTCATTCACCATGTATCTCCAGGATGGTGATGGGCCCAACGCCTCGGACTCTTCAGATGAGTTCGCAGGTGCCAATTCTTCGTCCACTTCTGACGAAGATGATGACGAGCAAGGTAAAAAGCGAACGACTTCTTCACCCAAGCCAAAGACCGGATCAGTCATCGAAGCCGCACAGTCCAAGAGATCAAAGAAAATTGACACTCGAGCTCAGCAGAAAACAACCTCGATGACGCCCCAACGAAACGGCCGACCACCGCGATCCAAACCATCCAAGACGGCAGCACGTCCAACATCAAAACCACGCACGAACTCAGCGAAGACGAGCTTCACGGGCGAGACACGGCCTACCAGTCCAAAGCCCAAGCGCAACCCTATTGGACGAACCAGAAATCACAAAGGGTCGCAGACTTCGAAAAAGGTAGTATTGTCGAACACCCCATTGAAAAGGTCAAATTCAAATACAGGAACCCGAATTACGTGCCCCCCCGAATCCGTTACGTCCCCTCAAACGAAGAAAGGTACAGCCAGCCTGCCCCTGACGCCAAGAGAATCTCCAACGGTCCCAGATACCATCCGAACGACTTCTTCACTAGGGGGGTCAGCTATGCTGCCTCGCCTGCCCCCTACCCCTTTGACTTGCCCCAGGCGCCAACCCTCCCAAGCAATTCAGTAACAGGAAGCAGGCCCATTGGCCCTCCTGCCGGATTCCCAACGTTATCTCATTCACGCATGTTTTCTGCTCGGTCACCAACCAAGCATGTTGAACCCTTGCCTAGCTCGTATTCCTTACCTCAGACACGCATGGCAGTGGAGAGTCTTTCAGAATCTGATGTACGACTGGCTATGGATGCTATTCAGCAGCTTCCAATTGGAGATACTTCAAAACGTCCACATTTCCAGGTGCTCGCAAAGAGACTACAAGAAATCAATCAGGATCAGCAACGACGTGGACCTCTTTGAAACGAGACATCGGGCTATGGACTGAACGTGGGCGGGCGAGGGTAGGAGGCCCAACAGATTTCAGGACAGACTTGCATGTTTCCCAGCATCCCAGCTGGCTACGGTTGCTCTTTTAGCTACGGAACGGAGGTGGCGACGACAAAGTGAATAGAACTCTCGTCGCAAACGGTACCCCCAATGACAATGCTGTATGTGCGCGGTGATTTTGACGCAAGAATCGCCAGACCGTCTTTTGAACGGGGCAATCAGTGTGACGGTGACTTGTCCTCATAGATGATGCCATGCTGGAAGGTGTACGCCATAGCCCACGTAGATGGGCGGCGCATTTGTTGAGTGACGCGTACGTATGACCCATGTTTCAATTCTGCAAAGGAGTCGACGCTGTGATATTGTGCCGTCGGGCGAATTTTTTTGCACCCGTCATGTCTCCGGCACTTTGACGGCAGCTTGAGCAGTATAGGTCACCTCCGTAGCCATTGGCGCTCGAGCATGGATCGCCGGGATCAGCCAGAAGGGCAACTGGATACAGAGCACTGAGAACGGCCAGGAGCTTCATATTGAGAATTGGATTTGTGTAGGGCTAGGCTGCGACCGAAGGCCCAAGACAGCACAGATTCGGTTTTCGAGTCCGTCGGCTCATCCATATCCAGCCGTCAGGTCTTCTTTTATATGTGGATTCCACTGGGGGCTGTTGTAGGGGTGTTGGGGGCCAAAACCAACTGGCTGACGGACCTGTTTCCGCGTTGCGTGCGGCGATGGTGCCCTGGATGTTTACATTTGCTGCCGTTTGACTGGCGGTAGGATTTGTTCAAGCTCACAGCGCCAGCCTCGAGCTGCGGTTGGCGATGGTTTGGGTTGGCAGCCCGTGCTGTGATGATGTTCTGGATGAAGCGATTGAGGTGGAATGGGAGAGAGTCTGTGACCATAGGTCCGAGTACCTCAGGTACTCCGTGCCGAGGAATGTACTGCCTCCTCAGTGCGCCAATTACCCCACACTGGGTGCTTCCCCCAGTGCCTGGTACACGCCAGTACACTGAGAGATCCCAGCCACAACCGCCAAGCCGTGCAGAGTCCGAGTCTGTGTAAGCACTTCTCACGCGGCTGCCTGCATATGTGCCTGGCAGCATCCATCCATCCATCCAAGCAACCTGGTCCTGCACAAAACAATCAAAGCTTCTGCACAGAATCATCAGCGTCACCATTGCGCATGTCCATTAGCGCATCTACACACCATCAAAGGATCCTGCTCGGCCTCTTGGCATGAAGTGGTCGACTCCTCCAGCTCGCTCGCAGCCTTCACAAGTCCTCGGCCTTGGTCTGCCGCAACGTCGTCACCGTCATTTCCCGCCTTTGCTGGGCTCCAAACAATAAAGCCATGGCCCACGTCCATGGTATTTTGACAGCCCTTCCTGTCATCAAGCCTTCTACAAACTCCGCCAGCAAGGCTTATGATACCTCCATTAGACAACACATCGCCGTACTGGCCAAGCGTGCGGCCGAAATACGAACCGCCGTCTTGAGCAGTCCAGAGCCGTTCCTTCAAGTAAGGCGTGCAGCATTTCTTCCGAAACACGAGACGATTCCCTTTCTTCGACTCCTCTGACCCTGACCCGTTGACAGGCTCTCGACCCTGCGGTACACTCAATCGGCTACCTCGTCGTTCTGGATATTCTTTTCCAGCTGCCTGACCCTACGACGCTGATCCCACAAGAAACCCTGCTCGACAAAGTGGTGGACTTTGTTTTGCATGTTGACGCCATACAAATTCGATACTATGGGCAGCCTGTGCGTTCGCTTCTCGAAAACATAGGCAGCGCCAGGTTCTTCCCGGTAAGACCACGGCACATCGTCACCTCTTGACCCGGCTGACATGATTCTAGCCGGCTACGGCCGTGACATTACTGGTGACTGCCATGCTACGTATCGACCCGAGCGCAACCGTCTTTACCTCGACCCATCTCCTCTTGGCCAAGCTCGCGTACAGTTCAAATACCGTAGCAGCAGCCTTGGACATTTTCGATGCTGATATCCTCTTCTACCCTAACATGGGCCCCTCTAGAGATGGTAGACTATTGTGTGAGCCAAGTCTAGCGCCGGCTTCCTACATGTCAACGCAGACCGGATTGACGGATGATGTCAAGCAATCAACAGTCTTGGAATACGACCACATTCGCGGCCTTGCCTACATGTCTATGAGGCTATGGTCCAAAGCACGGGAAGCATTTGAGAAGGTGATGTCCCATCCATGCAGGGAAAGAAGTATCAGCAAAATCATGGTGGAAAGTCACAAGCGATGGATCTTGTTGGGCCTTCTCAGCCAAGGCAAACCTCCGACGGTCCCCAGCTACACATCCGCATCTGCCAACGCGTGCTACAAGACGACAGGAAAGTGGTACGTTGCCATAGCAGAAGCCTTCAGCAATGGCGATGCGCAGAGGCTCAAGTCCCACATTGAGGAAAACACGACGCTCTGGGAAGAGGATGGCACCAGCAGTCTCGTCTCCGAGATTCTCTCGGCGTATCAAAAGTGGCAGATAATTGGATTGCGCCAACTGTATCAACGAGTTGGCATATCGCAGGTCCGAGAAACGACTCTCAATGCGGTGACAGGAGAGCCGTTGGCCAACAACCAAGAGGTGCTCGCATTGGTTGGCGACATGATTGAGTCGGGCATGCTGGATGGGCAAATCGAACAGGACGGCCAGGAAAACTACCTATCATTCCGGGAGAACAGTGACATAGTATCCGAAGCAGAGTTTGCTGCACAAATCGCACACAGCCACCACACGATTGACTTGCTTAGCAAGCAGTATCAGTCGATGAATGAGCGACTGAGTGGAAGCAAGGAATATGTGAAGCATCTACTGAGAGACCAAAAGCGGGCAGACAAGGATAATACGGATGCTGGCATTGGTTTTGATTCTCAAATAGAGGATGAGGATTTAATGGCTGGCATTGTGCCCAATGCTTGATGTCGTTTTTCCTGCACGACCGGCGTTGCGGGGCATAGATGGATGGTTTGCGTCGTGATGAGATTAGAGACGAGGCTCATTCATGTTCGTCGATGGGCTGATGTTGGCCCATCCGCCAAACTGCACATGCTGCATAACGTGGGTACCATGCTAATATACGTGAAGACTTTACGAGACATCCCCGATGTCTATTTATTTGATTGTGTAAAAAGCCAACACACAGGAGCTGCTTCATCACCTCAGATGCCGCATTCTCAACTGATGCAGCGGCACGCAGCCACTGCACGTGGAGAAGTTGTAAACTTTGTGCCTCAGTGGCTTCACAATCCGACGTGAAAAGCTTGCTCGCCAGCGTCAATCTATTCATTTACTTCAGAATACCGAGCCCCTTTAGTCGCTAGTAACCAGACGCAATCAAGGCCCACGACTCGCAAGAGTATCGGCAGGTTTGTAGCAGCGTCGGACTAGCTCCTTCAAGCGTCGAGACGCTTTGGAAGCCACCACCAAGTTTGTCAGTGTGCCCGCGCTTCGAGTACGCTTGCCAGAAGTAAACTAGGCGGGCGGTAGTCAAGTGCGACGAGTCGGCGCATGTTCGGTCCACGAGAGACGAGAGACAGCAACTGTCCTGGACAAGTGCCTGGCCGAGGCTTTTCCCCGTTGGGCATTTGGGTCGGCGAAGCGTATCGAGGCGCCGAATGTGTGTTTCCCAGAGACGCCGGCCGGACTGGAAACTGCAATGCAGACACGTGCGTGCCACCAGACTGTGTAAGGGCCTGGCCGAGGCTTCATGACGCGCCGACGACTTACGGCAGAGGGGGTCAAGAAGAAGAACTTTTTGGAATCCTGCACGCTGCGCTTCGTGATGTTTGCGGCAGCGTGTATTCAACACGGGCGGACCTGGCCGCAGCCGCAGCCGCAGCCGCAGCCGCAGACTCGTAAGCGCAAGCGCAAGCGCCTACTGCCTATGCGAAGGGGCATGAAGCAGAACGGAGCGAGGCCGACGCGAGCCACCGCAAGCAAGCCTCTGTCCGGCCTGCTTGAACGGGGCGTGCGAGTCCGTCGTGCGTCGTCGGAGCGGGACGGGTCGCTGTGGCTTTTGTCGGGGGGTGCCTGCCCTGGACAGGCGCCGTCATTGTCCTGCAAACCTGTGGTATTTGTGCTCACGATGGTCTCTCCGTGGTTGGCCGTTACTCGAAGTTACTTTCCGCCGGCCCGACGAACGTCTGCATTCTCGAGTCGCGTGCGAGTCGGCCCCCTTCCACCATCAAGTCTGGCATATAAGAGCCGCCGTCCAGTCGCCATGCCCCCAACTTCCCCCGGCAAGTCCACGCCAACTCGTTGCTTCTTTCTCTCTTGCACTCAAAGGCGATTCCCGCCGAATCGGCGCCTCCCCCACGGCCCCCTTGTTCCGTGGCTACCTGCACATTGCCAACATGGGTCACGTCTCCTGGGCTCTGGGCGTCCTGTTGAAAATTGCCGCCAGCTTGCCCGCAGCCTGTCCAACAGACGACCCGGGGATGGATCGGCGTGATTTGGATTCCAACTACAACGAGAACACGCACGTCTCGCTCGTCAACGCCACGCCCTACCGCTGGCGCAAGAGCTACAACTCGTCGTACCAGTTGACGGGCTGGGATGCCGGGTGGCCAGAGTACATCGAGCCCGGGAGCGCCAGCACCGTCTACGTCCGGACCTGCTTTCGTTGCTTTCCGCAGGACACGATGGGCGAGGCGACGTACCGCATCGAAGGGACCGGCAGTCCCATGTCGCTTCAGGTCGCGTACCGCTCTGGGAAGAATCACAGGGCCTACGTCCAGTTCCTCGAGGACCTGGAGACGCCCTACAGCGACAAGTCGGCACAGCACAACCTGGGCTTCTCGCAAGGCAGGGGCGGCGTGGGCTTCGTTCTCGCCGGCACCGAGGGCGACTTCATCTCCAACGGCGACCGGCCGGTGGCTTGGATGCAGGCCCAGCTCGCCGAGATTGGACACCTGCCGCTGCGTGAGATCGCCATGCCTCGGTCTCACCACTCGGGGCAGTGGAAGAGCCAGAAGCCCATCGGCGTGGCCACGCCTCGCAACACCCAGACGCAGTCTCTCCCCCTTTACGACCAGCTCAAGGGCGGCGTCAGAGTCCTCGACCTCCGTCCGCTGCTCAGGAAGGGCGACTTCTACAATCACCATGGCTCCAGACTCGGGCCCAACTTCCACGGCATGCTGGGCGCCTCAGTCAAGGACATGGTCGCCATGCACAACAAGTTCATGGCTGACCACCCCGGCGAGCTGTACATCTGGGACATCCACGAGGGAGATGCTCGCGACGGCGACAACAAGTATCGGCCGCTCGACGACCGGGGCCGCCTCAGGCTCTACAACGAGCTGCGCCAGCTCAGCAACCGCGTCAGGGTCCCCGAGGACGTGGATCTGTCCATCCGCCCCCTCAACCAGTTCATCAGCCGCCGCCGCGGCGCAAGGGGGCGGTCGAGCGTGCTCGTCCGCTTGCCCACGTCTTGGGCTGCCAAGCCGCACTTCCCCGGCAGCAAGGAGGGCTTCGTCTCAGGCGCCAACTTTCCGCTCAAGACTCGCTGGTCAAATACCAACAAGGCCGAGGAGCTGGTTAAAGACCAGCTCTTTGGGCTGGCAGAGGCTCGCCCTTCGAGGTCCTCGGGCATGTATGACGTGCAATGGATCCTGACGCAGAAGGGCGCGCAGGTCGCCTTCCCTGTGCAGTACAACTCCATCATCGAACTCTCGGGCGCCGCGTGGAGGACTCTGAGTCAGGAGTTTTGGGAGGCCCTCACCGACGAGTCGTACCCTAATTGGGTCACCATGGATGACATTCATGGGACTTCGCTCAAGGCCATGGCCATGGCTATTAACAAGTGCTTTGCGGCGAGGCGGTGTGGCCATCTCGGGGGCAGAGTTACCGGCATTACGAACACGACACTGGTTTCCCAGGAGGCTCTCAAGGATGGGACGGAGACGTAGGTCGTGCTGGGCATGTATGGTGTTGGGCTATCGGCATGGGCAAACGACATGTTGAATTGTAAGAGGCACTTTTGCGTTATCGTTCTCGCAACCATTGGTATTATCTTTGCAATTCATGTCCAACGTTGCATGTGTACATGATGACATTTTCTTCTTTTGTATGCCTCAAATGTATTTTCGTGGTTGAATCCAGCGTTTTCTGCGTACCGTATGCCATGCCGATGGTGAAAAGTATCTCTTTCTCTGATCTAGAGATAATCGTGAGCCGTCAATGGAAAGCCAAATGACAAGAAGCTGTGATGCTTGATGCAAGCCAAACTCTGAGCCCGGGCGCCAGGTCCTGTTCCCCGACGAAGCAGGGTTCCGTATGACGTGCTACAACAAAGGGGAAGGCCTCTTGCGCCGTCTTATAAAGTTGGGCAGATGCGTAATCGTGTTTTTCGAGTCACCCTCGGGCGCTGCCTCGGGCGCTGCCTCGCCGGGCGACTTGTTGCGGAGAGGCTTGCAGCAGCAGCCCATGGCGGCGTGAAGCACGAAAGCAAAGTCGGTGGCCAGGGCTCCAATCCACATAAAAGCAAACATTTTGACGCCGATATGGACCTTGATGTTGAGCTGGTCCTGGGCGGTGAGGGCAATCTTGGCCGCGACACTGATGGCGGTGGCGATGATGGCGGCAACGGTGAGAACAAGACCCGAGAGGCCGCCGAGCAGAGAGAGGAACAGAGAGAACCACCGGGTCCGCATGGCCAGCGGCGTCCCCAGCAGCAGCACGAGATTGATAATGGTGCCGGCCATGAAGAAGGCGTACATGACTTTGGAGCCGATTTGGAGCAGTCGCAAGATCGTCAGCACCTCGGAGGGCAGCGCGATTTTGGCGCCGGCCAGAAGCTCGCTGACGAGAATTTCAACTGGATTGAACCAATAGAATGTCTGTGGCGGCGAGCAATGTGTGATGCCGCTGTTTGTTTTTTCGTCGAGTCCAAATAAGCGTTTCGTTACGCGAGGACTCTGAGTCCAGGGATTCGGGAAGCGGTGCGGTGCGGGTGAAGCAGACTTACACATCGTTGTATCCCTCACAGAAATTCCAAACGCCAACCTGATAGAAATCGTGGAGTCCCAAACTCCGGGCTACAGAATTAAGCAACCCCGAGTTCGCCACGGCGATGGGGATTATCTGAGCAACGTCGAGTTTGAAAAAGTACGTGTCTCGCAAGACGGGTCGATCGTGCGTGTTGCCGATGAGGGTGAGGACCAGAAATGGGACAGAGATGCCGTACAACAGCGCGGCGATGATGGTGGTGTTGCGGCGGGCTTTGGGCGCGGCCATGTTGAATTGGTCGTTTGATGGCCCTGAGCCCGGCCCTCGGGAACTGATCCTTGGTGCTGATGACGGACGTCGTAGGGCCGCCGTCTCTCTGCTGATGAAATTCAGTGCTACCGACACGATGAGATTGGCAAGAAGATGCTAAGAGGATGGAAGTTTTTGTGTTGTCCAGATGAAGCGGACGGGTAGATGAGACTCTGGGCTCAGGCACAGGCAGACAGGGGAGGCTCCGAGAGAGACAGACGCCGGCCGTGAGACAGTCGATGTGCCATTGAGCCCACAGTCAACAATAGTCCGCATCTCCGTAGCTTGACGATGGTTCCAAAGGCCAGTGGGCCGCTCCACGAACAATGCGCTTGGGCCTTGGCCAGGAGCCAGGACATCCCTCGTCCGATGTGGTAGTTAATTTCCAGATGAGCATGTCCAAAGGTTCAATCGAGCCATCATGGCGTCTGGGCGACTCCTCGGCTCCCCGGCTCCCCGGCTCCTCCCAACGCCGTCACCTAGGACAGCGACCAATCGAGCCGTTTCTTGCTCAATTTCCGGATCTTCTGTGCCGCCAGTGACTTGACGGCTGCAGGGACCTCGTGTGCCGGCAGGACGGCTCATCAATCATCATCTTCGAACAAATTGGGGGCGTCGACGCGCGTTTCTCCTCTTTAGGCTCAACAGCGTCAGCCAGCCTGCTGCCAGGGTAAGTCGCTACCGCAGTCTGGACTTTGTAGTAGGCCGTTCCCCGAATCCCCAACTGAACCACCACCGACCGTTTTGTCATCAGTGGGCCAGAGTCCACGATAGGGTTGCTTGCTCACAAAGCCAGACCGAGCTTCTATCGCCATCCCAGGCACCACGGCGCGGGAGAGGGACCATGATCAGTTTGCCCACGGCTACGTACTCCGGTCAAAACTGACGCTTGACCGTGGGGCTGACTGTGGCGCTTAAGATTTGAAGCAGAGGACGAGACAATTCTTTCCATCTTTAGACATGGTCCATGGAGGTGTGAGGTCATACATTGCGCCTCGCCTTCTCCATCATGACCCACGCATTCATTTGAGCGTCTGGTGCCAATATCAACTGTCACTTTCCATGTGAGAAGAGGCTTGTCGACTCGCCTTCGGCTTGATGCCGTGCCGCTTATTTATCCGTGAGGCAAGGATCTTTGTAACCGCAAGCATTCGTCGAAAGGTCGTTCACTCATGCTCATGTTTGAGACACCTTAGTTGATCAGTTAACAGAATCGTACTGCCGCCGAGGAAGGCTGTGCAGACAGGCCTCGAAGACTTGTCAGTACTTCCCATTGGAGACTCACCAATGCAACACTACAGTCGGCTCCCGGTAATTCTGAGTTTTTTTGTACGGTACTCCGTATTACCATCCAAAATGACTTAGGATCGCCGGTTCCTGCTGTGAACCTCCATAATCATCGGGTGGGCGTTTGTTTTGGCAGAGTAACTCCGTAAGCTCGCTCGTTGACATGCCTCCCTCTGAGCGGCACTCGCTAGATTTTGATGGCAATATTCTTCCATGCAAGCCGGTAGCGAGCAGTCAGGGCTGTGTCATCCCCGGCCGCTCTGTGTTCGCACAGCATAGTTCCCACCAACCACCTTGCCATCCTTGCAGGCGCCATTGGCGTCTGCCAGCCAAGAATTCGATTCCCAGTCCTTCTCTACCAAACAGATGGAAAGTGTGTCTGGCGCGGTGTCATTGCCGGTGGGACGCTGATGCCGGCAAACAGCTGGACCGTGGGTTGATGCAGCTAGAGCCCATCTGGTTAAGGCACGAGGCCGGCCACGGCGCTTCGGTGACTGACGACATTTCTGTTTTGATCTCTTCCTCTTCGACTGCTTTCCCTGTCCTCTTGTATATACTTGTTGAGTTTCTGGGGCAACACCAACGGCGACCCTGAACAAAGCACAATATCTGACCCTGGATTCAATGCCCATCTTCTCATGATGAGGTCGTCAACGACGTCGGTGGCCCTCAATACGTTGGCAGTGCTGATACCGGCAGCTATGTCTCAAACAGCATCGTATACGGCGACCTCCGACCTCACCTTTCTAACCGGAACAAGAACAGAACGACCACCTTTTGAGACTGGTCCTCCTACTGGACCTTATCAGTCATATGGTTCCAAAATTACACTCACCGGTGCCAGCAGCCGGACTACCGCCGTGACCTCTTCGAGCGGAACGACGACAACTGGTGCCAACTTCACCACTACCGCGTCTCCGACACCCACAAACACGCAGCCCTGCAACAACCATGTCGAATTTTGCACTCGAAGGTACAGCAATATAACAAATGTCGGGTGTCATAACTCGCCCTTTGTTGTGCCGGGAAATAGCGGTTCCAACCAGGCGGTGGACGTATTGACTCAGCTGAATGACGGGATTCGGTTTCTCCAAGCTCAGATTCAGTGGCCTCCAAACTCGTCGACTCCTCATTTTTGCCACACGTCTTGTGACTTGCTAGACGCCGGTCCCATCTACAATTGGCTGGGCCGAGTTGCGGGTTGGGTTGATGCCCACCCATATGATGTCGTAACCATCTTGCTCGGCAATGGCAACTACTCGGATCCCTCGTTATATGTCCCCTTCATAGAACGATCCGGCATCACAAAGTATGTGTACAGTGCGCCATATCTTCCCATGGCCCTCAACGACTGGCCCACTTTGGAGGACATGATCATCCGAGGTAAACGAGTCGTCATGTTCTTGGATTATCAGGCCAACCAAACCAAGTATCCTTGGCTACTGGACGAATTCTCCCAGATGTGGGAGACGCCGTTCGACCCGCAGGATCGCGCATTTCCCTGTACGGTGCAGCGTCCGCCTGACTTATCGAAGAAAGCGGCCATGGACCGGATGTATCTTATGAATCATAATCTCAACGTCCAGTTTGACGTGTTTGGTGTCCAGCTCCTTGTTCCAGCGGTATCTCTTCTCAATGAAACAAACGGCTTCAACGGCACTGGGAGTGCCGGGCTAGCGGCGAACAACTGCCGCTCAGATTGGGGACGCGCACCAAACGTCATCAACGTCGACTATTACAACTATGGCTCACCGAAGCCTTGTTCGGTATTCGCCGCCGCCGCCGCGGTGAACAACGTCACCTATGATTATAGCGAGCCTTGCGGCGAGCCTTCTGCGGCATCACACAGCACTAGAGCCCCAACTCTCTGGGTGATGTTTGCGACGTTTGCAGTCGTTGCCTTTTGGTGTCATTAAACTTTGGTCTTGTGCTGGAGAAAACTTGTCAAGAGGCTCTCTTTCCCAACTTGATATATTGTAGCGGCGTTGGATGCTGCGTTTTTATATATAGGACTGGCGTCAAGCTAATGATATGGACAGCCAGTCCGTGGATTCACGGCTGTTCTGCTAAGAGTGTAATTTGGCTTTAGCATTTCATAGACTGCGTATATTCGACGTGGATATATATTTTGTACTTACCGCGCTGCAATATGCCACCGTGTTCCAGCGGCCACTTCATGTAAAACTTGTTGGGCTGCTTACGAAAATACTCGCCTCCTCGTCCCTTGCCTCTAAATATGCCACCAACGAATAGACAAAGCCCTGCAGTCGACGACCAGGAGGCCTCGTGGTCCAGGCACATGGCCATGGACCGGTCATGCACCTCCGATGATGACGCTGTCTGCCTGCTTTGGCCACGACAATGCATTTGCAGCCCAATCAGTCCCCGACTGTTGACCAACCAAGGGGAAGAGCCACCCAGCTTCTAATCTTGTTGGAGGGTGGCACACGGCGACACAGCGGCTGACGGTCCAGTGGCGCTAGTATTGCTGGATCCAACAGATCTTCCTGCGGCCTGCGCAATGTTTTGGTGTCGACTTCACATGGCGCGCGAGGTTGGTTGAAGTAGGATCAGGAATTAGCCATGGTCCATGGGTGTCGGGGCGGAAATAACTCGCGTGGGTTCTCTTTGTTGGTTTTGCAGGATCTCTTGGCAAGAAACAAGAAATTCAATTGGCTATTCCACCAAGAAACGAGGCAACACGCCCGCTTTCCCGCGAGATTAAAACAGGGGGAAGGAGCATTCGACTCTTTGTTGCCCAACCAGCCCCTGCCCCTGCCAGCCCTATCATCATCCTTTTTCAGCCCATTTCAATGTTCACCACCACGATCACAATAGAAAATGTTGCATGGCCCACCTCCAGATGTCCCGCTTCCGAGCTGAGAACAAGGTCTGCCAGGCCACGAGGGGCATGAAGATGATGTGCCTGCCTGCATGTGCATTTCCCCTAGGGATCTGGAGGTGCGTCGTGCCGGGGCTCGTCTCTCTTAAAGCTCGCCCCAACCTGGCCAACTTCTATTCTTCCATCTTTCGAGTACTCCCGAGGGGCAAGACGTCCCTGCTCTTGGGTCTGATCTCAGCTTGTTTAACCAGTGTCTCCTCTTTGCAGTCTCCGGAATGCGTTTGCCGCTGTTGCGTCTGTTGCACCTGTTCCGGCACATTTCTCTTATCCGCGAGACAGCTTAGCTGGTGATTGTGGCCCTGCTCTTTTGCCCGACATGGTGATGCCTGCGGATTATGGATTCTCGTAACCAATTAGGCCAAGAGCCCTTGCGTCAGGGAGCTCCCCCGGACCAGTATGATGACTGGCGATGGCCGACTGTTTCTCCGTTGCGCGATGCCGGCGCTGCCGCCCACTACGATGACTCTTCCTATTTGCATGAACTGCGAACTAAAGCCTCGTTTGTTTCTTCACAGTCTGATCAAGCCACAGCATATTCCTCCGATCATGATAATGGGAGCCGCATCTATACACCAGATTCTACGTGGTCCGGCTCGTTTGCTTACCGAGGTGGATATGCACCCGTGTCGAATATATCTGCTGCTCCGCCTAGGAGGACGCACTCCATCAACGTTCGCAACCCCAGCTATCGCTCCTTACCAAGGCAGAAAGTACCGGCAGGCATACAAGAGGAAGAATATGACCTGTCTCTGTTGAAATCAGCGGCTCTCATGGGTACTAGTGCACCCTACGATGTGATTCCAGATGATGATGAGGCTGCACCGCCAGGAGTCGACATCACATCTGCCATGGGGCCAATGACGACTCATGATGCTGAATTCATCAAAAGCCTACAGGAACAGGAAGCGAATGGAAATCTTACAGGTGGACTAGGTCAAGGTTTTCGACCAGATTCTAGGCTTCGGGACACAGAGCTTCTGTCCAGCCCAACATCAATAAAGCGGAGTCTCTCCAGATCATTCGCACAGCACAAATCAGCCAACCATCTAACACGAAAAGATACTATTCGATTCAAGGGCCAAGCTGAGGCTAACCGGCGAGGAGAGGTCATCGAAGTCGTTCTTGAGACGACACCCACCGATCTCAGCAACTTTGAAGGATCAAACATGCTTTGGGACCCTGACACCCGACGCAGTGCGGTCGCCGGCAAAGTACAGGAGACACAAATATTTTATCCCCAACCAAACTGGAAACCGTGGTCCATGCGATGGCCTTATCTTACTATGATGATACTGCTTTCTGTCACTCTGGCTGTCATGCAAGAGGCTCTTTTCCAAAAGTACGAGAAAATTCCTCTGTTGCAGTTCCAGAAACCCAGCGATGTCAAGCCAGGTCTCTATTTTGCTGTGAAATTTGCGCCTACTCTGTGTGCCGTCATTTACGGAGTGTTGTGGCAATTCGTCGATTTCGAAGTCCGACGCCTGGAAGCATTTTACCAACTATCAAAACCAGGCGGTGCGTTGGCGGCAGAGTCTATGAATGTTGACTATGTGACGAGTTTTAGCTTCATGCGACCTTTTCGAGCATTAACCTTGGGACACCATGCAGTTGCCCTTTCATCGATTGCCACTACCCTGGCGATTTCTCTGGTTCCCACATTTGCGTCTGCCTCAGTTATACTCTCGCCCAGTCGAGAGGAGCGGATGAATCACCCTAATGGTGACAAATATCTGCATTTTTCCCCGGAATGGTCGCGACTTTTGACTTCAACACTAGCCGTGTGCTCTGCCGCGGGCATTGGCCTGCTGTTTTTGCTTCAGAGCAGACGCACCGGGTTACTATCTAACGTGCGAGGTATTGCTGGCCTGGCGTCCATGGCCGTCGTGAGCCACATTTTAATGGACTTTAAGGACATGGATACTTCCAGGCACAAAGACATCCACCAAAAATTGAAACATAATCGATACATTTTGCGAAATTCATCGCTGGCGCCTGACAATGAGAATCCAGCGACGTCACAAGAGAGAGCCATGTATGAAGACGGACACATGTCAGAAAACCCTCATCCGCTGATGTTGCGGCTGGCCGGGTTTATCCCATTTGCAATCGCTCTCTGGGGTTTTATGGGATTCATCCCAGCTTTCCTCTTCACCGAAGCAGATGCTGTCTCAGAAAAAGCGCCCTGGTTTGTGACCGCCGTGTCGGTCTGCCTGAAGATGAGCTGGAATGCTCTGGAAACTGCTGTTCGGGTTATGGAGCCTTACTATATACTATCCAAGAGGCACGCGCCTTCGGTCCTCTTGACGCTGGATTACACTGCCATGCCGTTCGGCTATCTTCCCATCAAGGCACTCTTGAACGGCCATACGATCATGTTCCTGGTTGGTTTTGGCAGCGTCATTGCCGAGTTCTTGACCATTCTCGTGACCGGTCTGGCCACAGTTGATGGCAAGGATTTCCTTCTCAACGGCGATGGCAATGTTAATCAAGACGGAGGCAAATTCATCAACTCTGGACAAGAGACAACCCATTCATTCTACGTCTCTTTTGGCATCGCCATGTTTATCCTTCTGTACATGAGTGTCGTGTCCTGCATCGTCTTTTTCCGACGGCGACATCCGTTCTTGCCGCGACAGCCAAACACTATATCATCTGTGTTGGCATACATTCATCAGAGCAAGATGCTTTATGACTTTGTAGGGACGGAGAAGTTCAGCAGTGCCCAGATAGTAAAGAAGCTGGATGATGGCAAGACTTATGGTCTGGGATGGTTTCAGGGCCGGGACGGGCAAATACACTGCGGAATAGATCAAGAGGAGCTAACGAGTTCGTACAAGCACGGCGTCGATTATACGCAGCGGAACCAGCCATGGAACACACCGTGGGATACGTTGTAGACATGAGCATGGCTCACGCGCAGCACATGAATGGAGGCATACACCGAAGGGTTTGGTTTTCGAGAACAACGATGGTGGCGTACTTCTCGGCTGGCCGGTTACCTGACGGGACCTCCTTGGTGAAATCAAACATGAAGCTCCCGGTTAGCGAGTAGCCGGCAGCAGACCAACACAGTAGGCTTTGGTATATCAGAAAAATGGCACTCGGGGAATCACGATGCTCGATTTGATGGATGGGTTAAACGGCTGGTTGCGCACGACGTGCGAAAAACTAGTCGTTCAATTAGTCTTCTGCCATGCCATGAGTTTGCAGAATGTTACTGTACTGCACTTCATATCAGTGCTTTTTCCTGATGCAGGCATCACACCGTTATGACGACAGTGGACGGACTGCCCGATGCGCAACCCGCCCGCCACTCCATTCAGGGTGGCGAATCAAAGGCGAGTCGGAGGCAAACGCCTCAAAGGGGACGAGAGACGGACGGTTACATGCAAATCAACTCGGAGACGGAGCAATGTTGGGGCATGGGCTGGTAGACGCGGGTTGTGCTTTGGGCGCGCTGTGGCTTTTGATACGTGTGTTTGAAGACGTGACAAATTTAGATAGAGCATACTCCATACTCCGTACGCGAGGCAGGTGATAACGTGAATGCCTGGGCTACGTACATATGGAATATCTCAAACTCATCATGTGACGGGGTCGTGTTGATTTTTTTGGTGGCTTGTACTAGTTTGTCGTACTGAGTCTGGGCGGGCAGGTTTTGCATGCCGATGGCATCATGTGGGCGAATGAGACTGACTCGCTCACGACAAACGCAACAAAGGTCTAGATCTGAGATTTGGACGGCTCTATTGAGCTTGCGCGCACGACAGCACAGCAACTGGAAGTGGCTGAGCGTCTTCCATGCCGGCCGCAGCGCCCAATAGTGTTTTTTTTGTCCTCCTCAGCAGTACGAACTACTCCGTACTACGGGGTACTAGTGGTACTCTGGGCTCTGGAGGAGGACAAGTCATAAGAGCAACCGCGTCGTACGTGTTGCGTGTGATTTCTCTCGGCGCCAAGGCTTGTCATTTTGCTTTTATTATCCGCAGCTGTGACGTGGTAGGCTCCTCACTGGTGCGATGCCAGAGAGACAGTCGACATCGGGGCGGTGCATAGACGTGTAATTTGGAAACCCCGGCACGACGCAGGCGCTGGGAGTCCCCGGACGGTGCTGGAGCAGGAGCTGGTTTTTACAAGGATGGCAGGCGTAGGCGTACCTCATCCCTCTGAATCGTGTCTTGGGAAGAAACGTGCCGTGGGATTTCATGGAGGCTGAGCGCACCGCTGTTGAACTCGGATCTTGGCACCTGGGCGGTTGGTGACCATGTCGACGCGGGCGCTCGGCATTCTGGTCCGCCAAGCAAAGTGGAATAAGAGTGTTGCGTATTGTGTAATGTTTCCAGCAAGTGCGTATTAGCCAGAGCCTCGAGTCAAAAAGTGCGTACGGCGTATGTTCAATGGTACAACAATAGATGGCGAACGATACGAGAAGACGACGCGACGAGACGAGGGCCACGGGGTGGTGCGCCACACATCGTCGACTGATGTCTTCTCACTGTCTCTGCCAGGTTGTCAAATACGGGTGCTGCCGTTGCTGAGCCTGCCATGATGCGCTCCACCCGTCTGAAGTTATTTCAGGTTACCCTAAATGCCTGGTCCCGCGAGGTGCTGGCAAACGGGAAAGATGAAGAGCCGCCGTGAACGACTGGCAACTGGCGCGTGTGACGTGTCCGCCGCTCGGTCAAGTCGAGTGAACCGACAAACAAACACATGGAGAGCAAAGTCAGGGGGGACACGACGCTGGCGCCAGCCCCAGGCATGTATCGCCTGTTAGTGCGGACACGAGAGCGGGCAATGCGCAAAGGCGTCGCGCCGTCGGCGGTACCTGCATCATCCGCAAGAGCAGTGCGGCATGTGACGTTCCTGCACAGCCCGCGAAGCCCCGCCCGGCTGGCACTGTGCCGGGCGCACTATCGTCGAGTTCCTAGTCCCGCCCCGGCAACGCAACCAGCAGGGAAGTTCCCGCGCGGCGCAATATATGCTTTGCAGCGCTTGGCCTCCTCCGACTGGGCTCCTGATTCGCCCAGCATGATCAAGCCCCAGCCCTGTGGAGTCTGCCCGGCGCCACCTGCCCCTCGTCGTGCCCCGTGGTTGGTGTGTCCTTTCGCTTTGCTTTCTCCTGGTCGCGTTCTTACCACAGGACGGTTTTGCTAGTACTAGTCCGGAGTGCTCTCAACTCGTAACTCGTACTGTAGTTACGGACGACTCGTTTCAAGCCAGCAGCGAACCCCCCACCTCTCCCCAAGAGCCACGAGCCACGAGCCAGCCTGCCTACCGCCCGAAAACGTCAACTGGGTCGCTCCTCCTCCCAACTTCTCTCCACCGACGGGTCGACGAGGCCACCTGAAGTCTCTGCGCCTCCGCGTTGCTTCCTCCTCCGATCCTAAACCCGCCAGAACGTCGTTTCGTGGCTTCTTTCCGTCGTTGCTCCTCCTCCGTCCTTTGGCTCATTTTCATTGCTCCGGCCAGCGATTTCGCCCTCAATCTCGCCCCCCTCCCGACAATAGAAGGCGACGCTTCGCTACCCCGTTTCATTCGCTACTTTTGGGCTTTCGTGCAACACCGAGTATCCTCCACCAGACGCTCTTTATTTCCCTCGCTCCGACAGCACCCACCGACGTCGCCCGCCGTCATCGTCTTGTTTCCTCGTCATCTCCTCTCCAGTTCAACTCATTCGCCCGCCGAACGTAGAGTGCGACAGGCGCCCTCGGTCATCGCCTCAACCCGGTCAACCATCACCTTTTGATCCAATCTGGCCTACCGTTCGACCCTCCGACCGGCCCTTTGTTCGCCTTGTCGATTGACTATTTAAAGCCTGGCGACCCTCAGCCTCAGCAGCAACTCTCGTCTGGACTGAGAAGTAAAGCCGCTCCGCGGGCCGATGACGACGCTCGTCTAGAGCAGCACTGATTGATTGCACTGGTGTCAGCCCCCGGATTATCGTCATCAAAAGGTCCGACGACACTGCTCGTCCTTTGTCAAAATGCGGTCGCTTCTGAAGGCGCCACTTTTGCTTCTGGCCTCCATGGCCGCGATGCTGTCTCCGGTTACCGGCGAGGACATGCTCGTGTCCAATTCTCTCAACAACTGTCAAGACGACTCTAGCTTTACAGCCAGTCTCTTCAATGTTGTTTATACCCCAAACAACAACTCCGCGACCGTCCAGGTTGTCGCCACATCATCCGTCCAGGGCTACGTACTTTTCGACCTGGCTATTTCCGCCTATGGTTACACCTTTCTGAGGAAAACTGTTGATCCTTGTGAGATGAAGCTGGGCGGTCTGTGCCCCATGGTTGCCGGAAAGATTCCCTTCGCCTTCAACCTGCCTGTCCCAGCCGACGCTGCTAAGCAGATCCCCGGCATCGCCTACAGTATTCCCGACTTGGATGCCACCGTTCGCGTCCAGATCAACCTGACCAGGACCGACAACCCTCGAAGTATTGCCTGTGTCGAGGCCGACATTTCCAACGGCAAGACGGTCGACTTGCTGGGAGTCAAGTGGGCCACGGCTATTATTGCTGGTTTGGCCTTGATATCCTCTGCCGTTGTCAATGGCCTCGGACACTCCAACACCGCCGCTCACGTTGCAGCTAACTCGCTCTCGCTCTTCGGCTACTTTCAGGGACAAGCAATCCTTGGTCTCACCGGTGTTCACCTGCCCCCCATCGTCCAGTCCTGGACCCAGGATTTCCAATGGTCTATGGGTATAATCAAGGTCGGATTCATGCAAACCATCTTCACCTGGTATCAGCGAGCTACCGGTGGGACGCCGTCCACTATTTTCGATACTCTCACCACCGTCTCCGTCCAGGTTGAAAAGCGTGGTCTCGACTTGGCCGGCCACGGCCTCAATCTTTTCAGGCGTGGTGCCGCCATGATGCCCAAGCCCATCGTCGCCGCAGCCGGCCACGTCATCAAGCGAAGCAACATCATGACCTCGTCTGGTGCTTATATTGTTTTTGGGATTCAGCGTGTGGCTTTCCGCTCCAAGATTGAAACAACCAACCTGTTCATGACTGGGTTGACGTTCTTTTGCATCTTCGTCGTCTTCACGATCCTCGCCGTTGCCTGCTTCAAGGGAATCTGCGAGCTCGCTGTAAAGCGCAAGTGGATGGAAAGCGATACTTTTCTCGAGTTCCGCAATGGTTGGTTCACCGTCTTGAAGGGCATTCTCTTCCGTGTGGCCCTTATCGGTTTCCCTCAGATGGCCATCCTTTGCCTTTGGGAGTTTACCCAAGTCGACTCGGCAGCCGAGGTCGTGTTGGCTGTCTTCTTCTTCTTCGGTCTGGCCGCCACGCTGGGTTGGGGCGCAACCAAGGTTATTCGCATCGCTCGCCGTTCTGTCGCCATGCACCGCAACCCTGCCTACATATTGTTCTCTGACCCCCAGGCTCTCAACAAGTGGGGATTTCTGTACATCCAATTCCGTGCCTCAGCTTACTACTTTATCGTTCCTGTTTTGGTATACACACTGATCAAGGCCATGTTCGTCGCCTTTGCGCAGAAGAGCGGAGTAGCCCAGGCTGTTGGTTTCGTCATCATTGAGGCTGCTGCTCTTATTGGGGCATCAGTCCTTCGGCCTTGGATGGACAAGCCCACCAACTCGTTTAACATTGCCATCTGCGTCGTCAACTTTCTCAACGCCATTTTCCTGCTGATCTTCTCTAATGTGTTTGGTGCCCCTCAACTAGTCGTCGGAGTCGTCGGAGTCGTTCTCTTTGTCCTGAATGCGGTTTTTGCGCTCGTCCTACTCCTCATGGTTATCATTTCTACCACAGTCTCCTTGATCCGCAAAAACCCAGACGCTCGCTATCAATACATGGCCGACGACAGAGCTTCGTTTATGAAGTCTCAAACGCACCTGACCACCACCACTGAGCTGGATGCGCTTGCCGCGACTGCCCGAGGTGACAAGGCAGGCGGATACAAGTCTCACTTGGACTTGGAGGATGACAACGAGTCGTTATCGTCCGATGACCTTCGTCGCCGAGCTGCTGGCCAGAATTCATCCGCCACAGCGTCCCAACACTCTTTCCAAGGACAGCATGGGCCTCGGTCGCCCGTCAATCCATCCATGCCACTTTTCCCTGCGAGCCAGCGTCCTGAGAGTCCGTTCCGCTCGGCCTCACCAAGCCCTTACAATGGCAGTGGATCTACCGCAGCTCAGCGATCCAACAACAGTTCCAGTCCAGTTCCTGGATACCGATCACAAAACACGTCCAGGTAAGTCGACTCTGTCACACGAGACATTTTGGCAGCTTTCATTTAACAAATCCGTGGATAGTCCCTGGCAACGCGGCGCGGGCTATGAGTAGAACAAAGAGGGAGGCAATATCACAAGCAAGCGAAAGTTGGGGAATCCCCCAGCTCGATTCCACAATTATGAAGTACCAGCATTTGAAAGCCTTTGCAGTTGCAAGCAACCAACACTACTACGCATGGCGGTCCCCCGTGTTGATTTTTGAAGGCAGCCATTGGATAGTTGACGACATCAAACACACACACCTGGCACAGCGACGTGGTACATGCGTACCGCCGAGTCGACCCTCGAGCTCTGCACTCGCATCGCATCAACGACCGTGAGGGAGGCTACGAAACTTTTGAAATGCTGTGTACCTTGGCTGCATATATCACATTTTGTCTTTTCTCTCATCATCCTGTTAAAGTCTTTCCTTTTTTTTTTTTTTTCGGCCAAGGTTGGCATGATGGCGTACTGATGATAATGTGGAACAGGAAGGACTATAGTAGACTCAATACCATCGTATGATGGCCTTGGATGCCCCCTCCCGCGAGTCCTGGTTTTCGATTTTCTCTTGGGGCTGTATCGTACGAGTGTATATAATGTATTGGGAGGGAACCGTCAGTGGTACTGGCTCTGATTTCGTGCTTGGCCAGCTGGGTCACGTTTGGTCAGGATTGTTTTGGACCGAGCATAAAGATGGGAACATTGGAACCTAAGCTGGAGAAGTGGACTCTGGCTCCTCTGGCTCCAGACACACTAGTATTAAAGAAATCCTCATCTATATTCTACTCAGTTCGCGTGCCTGTGAGGGCGCAAATGGGCAATCCAGAGAAGGGGGGAAACTGAACACAGCGGCGCCGTGGTCACCAATCCATCGGGCGTGCGTACACAGGGGAGGCGCCGTGTGGTTCGTGTCAAGCATTATAGGTATTAAGTGTCTGTCCTTCCCATGCTCACTGTAATAACCACCTTATTCGTACAAAGAGACTTGTATCTCGTCATCGCTTCTTGCTTCTCGTCCAGCTACATGAAGAAAATGGCCTTCCAGTCCAGTCCGGCCAGTAGAAAACGTCTTTCGACAAGAGTCAAACGGGAAAATTCAGAGAGCCAATGGGCGTGCAAACGTGGCAGAGGCCGGCAAGATTGGTACACGTCGGAAGAAAAGATTTTACTCCCCCAGCTTCTCGGAGTGGGCGACTTCCAAGAACGACTTGTAGAGGGGGAGATACAATATATATATATATATATGGATAACGACGGCAAAAAAAAGGGGGAAAGGACAAAGGGAAACAAAGCAAAGGAATCCAACACACAACAATGATGTAGAAATAGAATCGGGTTGGGCGTGCAGGTGAAAAAGGGAGGGGTGGAAAGGGGGTCGAAAATGTATTTTGACCGATCTTCGTACCGCGCCTCTGGGCCTAGTGACGCAAATCGAGAGAAAACGTCGACTGAAGTGATTTTGGTATCCGTCATTGTGTTGTTCGCTTTTTTTGTTTCTTACTCCTCAACGCCTATTCGTCGCCTGTGACGCCCATGTCGCTGTGAAATTAAGTCCATCAACCGTTATCGCAAGTTCGTGGTACGGCATTCATCATTCGCCGCCAGCTCAAAAAGCAAAGCCCTGCTCTATTAATTTGTCGACGTCTCCCCCGGCGGCGGCCACAGCTTTGATAGCTGCCTCGCTAAGACGTCTGCGTCGATCCTGCGCTTCCTTTTCACGGCGAGCCTTGGTCTTGGAGCTTCCGCTGGGGGCAACCCCTGTCATGAGTACACTGCCATCATTTGGTGTAAAGTTGACGAAACCGATCCCGCCCACGCCTTCGCCACCACCCAAAGACGTGGCACTGTTTGAACCGCTTATATCTCGAGAGCGGCGCTTGCGAACACTGCATGGGGTGCCGGGCATGCTGGCGGGGAGACGGCCGGAGCTGCTCCTTACAGATGACACAGACGCGCCTGAGCTATGGCGAGATCGAGGGATAGCAGACTGATCCGCAGGAGTCGGCGAAGATGATGGGCCTCGCTGCTTTCGCACAGGAGAACAAGACAGGTGTCTTGCACCGGATGACTTGGCCTTTGGGGGCCGGTGAGATCTTTCTGAGGCAGGCATCTTCTGCCCTACGGCCTGAGGAGGAGGAGGCAGCGGCGGAAGAAATGTCTGGGCGTTGACAGTCAAATCATTGACAACAGCTGATTGAGGGCCCCGAGGCTGAGGCATGTGAATCATGAGCCCACCTGCGCTGGTGTCGGCAATGGCTTCGTAGTCATAATGCATCCCTGTGTGCTGACCGTGTCCCATTACATGAACACTGGCGCTCCTCTGGTGATGAGAAAAGTCGTTTGTCCCTTGGCTCATCATAGTTGGTGTCCACCAACCCGCCTCTTGGCTGGTGATGTATTCGCCTCCGTTGCCTGCCCAATGCATCTGATGCTGCTGTTGTTGTTGGTGTTGGTGTTGTTGCTGTTGCTGTTGCCGCTGTTGCTGCTGTTGTTGCTGCTGTTGTTGTTGCTGTTGCTGCTGTTGTTGTTGCTGTTGCTGCTGTTGTTGATGCTGTTGTTGCTGTTGCTGTTGCTGTTGTTGTTGTTGTTGATGGTGGTGATGGTGGTGATGTTGCCACGCTACATCATATTGGAAATGACTCTGACTAGGTTCGCTCTTCACGCCAGGCGATTCTACTGGAGTTTCCGGCGCGACCTGGCCATAATACTGGAGATTTACTCCGCCAGGTGGCAAAAGACCGCCGTCGTTGAAGGGATCGTCACACTGCCCGTGTATGAAACGGGGGGCAGGCTGCTCCTTCTGTTGAATCGGAGGAGATACAGGTAGATTGCCCGTCGCAACAGGTCGGCCTCTTCCTCGCCTTTGCTTAGGTATCTTGAGAGGTTGTAGCTGTTCCTGTGTGGGTGATACTTGGCGTGGTACAGCTGACGCTTTCCGATTCTTTCGCAGGGTTTTTGCCTTTCGTATCGTGGAAGACAAGGCTTCCACAAACTTCTTGGGCTTCCGACCATCGGTGTTGGGGGGTTTTGGAGAGGGCGGATCTGACGTTGTATTTTGCGGTCTCTGTGGCGAATGGAGAGAAATGCTCTCGAGTCTGCTCAGGTCTGCCTCGGACATGGATGCTCTGCCGAGATGCTCAAAGGGCTGCTGAGACGCATGACCCAGGTCGTCGGCGCTTAGCGCGAGGTCTTTTGGGTCTATTTCGTGACTGGCAGCCGAGGCAGTTGCGCCAATGCGGGAGCTGTAGGAGAGAAAGTCGAACTCATCAGCAGACGAGACGCAGGATGAGACGGCGCTTTCCAAGGTTGCGGCAGCACGGTCTCCCATCAAGAGCATCGACCCTGCCACGCCGGGCATGGAGGCTGGCACCGTGTTAAAGTCATTGTTGGCGGTCATTGTGACTGTACCATTGGCATCATAGTCAACGAACTGGCCAAAAAGGTCGTTGTGGACATCGTCGGTGCTGGCGCCATTCACATCCTCCCAATAGATGCTCGGGTCCCTGTTCGCATCGACCGCCTCCGCCCTGTACGGAAAAGTCCAAAAGGCCATCTTGACCCAAGGTTTGGTCCAGAGTGACGATGGCTTTGAACTGTGCTGTTGATGATGATGACGCTATCGTTGCGATGTGTTGCGATGTGTTGAAGTGTAGTGTGCCTGTTGTTACTACTGTTGTGGCGGTGGCGGCGGTGGTAGTAGTCGTAGTCGTAGTAGTCGTCGTTGTCGTAGTCGTAGTCGTCGCAGTAGTAGTTGTTGTTGTTGTTGATGTTGTGATTGTGATTGTGGCTCTAGGTTGATTTGGCCAAGGTCCGTATATACATATGCACATGTGTGTATACAGCATGTATACATGTGTATATATATGCGGTATACGGCACCTTTGCGACTCAGAGTGAAGAGAGCAATGGCAGTGCCATGAGGCTCAAAAAGAACTGTCTTGTCTCTCCGGTACAGGCCGCAGACTTGGAGGCAAAGAAGAACGAAGACAGCTTCGATAAATCAGGAAATTGGGGAAAGAAGAGGAAGCAGAAAAGTCGCAAGGGAGTAGGGAAGAAGTGGAATATGGGAGTTCCCGTTGTGGCCCGAAGCTATCTATCAATCAATCAATCAACCTGGGATGGCCCGAGGGCAACCAAAGCTTGTTGGCCATATCCCATCCCGTAGCAACAATTGGCTCAGGACAACACCCGGCAACGGGCCAGCGATCAGCTAGCAACCGATCTCAGGTCCAGAGTTGTTATTTGGGGGATTCGCAGGAAGAGGCAGGCCTTGGAATGTGGGAACATTGCGCTGCGCATTCCAGTCGTCGTTGGACTTTGGCACCGGACGCAGTGGCCAAGCCCAAACCCAAACCACCAACTCTGGCCATGAGCGAGTCCGACTGACTGACTACATGTACAAGTACAGTAGTTCTCAGAACGACTTCTGAACTCTTGGACAAGCCAGTCCGGCCCCACAACGGCAGCCATTACCGCTCATACATGCATGGATACGTGGACACGGTGGTTGTATCATGGACGTACGCATGTACGGCGCCTGTGGAGGTGCCGAGCAGAACCTCAACCTCAACCTCCTCCCGAGCCCATGTTCGTGTTGCCCGTGTTATGCTCATGCCCAGCAAGGGAGAGAGTATAATTAGTAGACAGAACTTCTGCCGCCATCCCCACTGCAATGTGGTCTTGCTGGGAAATTACTGGAGAGCCCACAATGCATTGATTGATGGTCAGGCCAACAGTTGGTCCCTTGCCAGAGCCACCATGTCGTGCGAAGCAAAGGTCAAGACGCAGCTCGTGCGTGCGTGCGAAAAAACCCAGGCCCGCGCATGCATACGGTCGACCTTTCCCCGACTTCTCCTGCCCGGCAAGCCTGCAAGAGAAACGAAAATGAAACCGGGGGCTGCGCGGCCGGCCCTGCCCTGCCCTGCCCTGCCCTGCAAAACCCCCTCCCTCAACTAACGGCATGACGCAAATGGGCCCTTCTTCTTGGGACTCCTTCGGCGGCTTGTACATAGCCGTGCTGCCCATGCAAACCACAACGTCTGAAGCCTGAAGCCTGAAAGCCTGAAGCTCGAGCTTGAAGCCTGGAGCCCAAAGTCAAAGACGGAAGCCCAAAGATCCAGTGAGGCAGCATGCCGGGTGGCAATTGGCGTGACTTGAAAATCGCCTCCAAATTGTATGCTCCGATGGCCAGGCCTGGCCTGGCCTGGCCTGGTCTGATCTGGTCTGGTCTGGCCTGGTCTGGTCTGGTCTGGTCTGGTCTGGTCTCGTCTGGTCTGGTCTGGTCTGGTTTGGTTTGGTTTGGTTTTGTGCATTGTGCATTGCATATGTACGCCATGCCTTGCTTGCGACATGTAGGCTGCCACCATTAACCATGGCAAAGCTTGATCTGCCAACTGTTTACCGGATGCCAGAAGCCCAGGCTAAGTGTTAGCCTTGAGACAAAATCTTAACGGCATATTATGGAGCACCCCATACATTTAGCAATATGAGCTCCGGCATGATCCAAGGGCAAACCAACGCCCTACCCCACGTGTTTCAGCGACGAATGTCGATTGCCAAGTCAACGGCTAGGGTCGAGTACAGTGATGGTGCTAACTAATACGTGCGTACTTGGGTAATGAGGACAAAGGAGCCTGGATTATTGGCGGCATGGATGGGGATGACCGGACGGACATGAGCAGAGCGTTGTGGCCGATGGTGTGGTTTGACAAGCGGTGACAAGGTGTCGAAATAGTGCTTCCGGCTAACAAGGCAAAACGAGCCATGGGGAAAACGCGAAAAGAGGGCTCTCAACTCCATCGCCCATTCGGGGTATTGTAACGTGATGGTCAAACCATGTTGGTAACCATGCCATGCGGGCACGAGAAAGTCTGGCCAATATCAGAGCTAGGGCAACTCTGTCTCGTCGTACACGTCTCCGCACCGTTAAAAAGGCTGACAAGAAAAAAAAGTACCGACTCTCCTTCACGCATGTACCGAGAGCTTCTGGGCGGAGGGGATATGCCTGCGAGATTCGGCCGAAACGAAGATTTTCCTTGTCCCAAAACGCCAACCAACTTAGCTGCCAACCTCCTCGTCATCAGCGTGAGCGAGCGAGCGGTGTGATTTGTAACTACTAGACCCTTCCCTGGACACTGGTGGCGGAGATTAGCGATTGACGCTCGACGCTCGACGAAGCGACTAGGTACAGAGTCCTTACTAATTACACGTGAGGAAAACTCCATGCGGGCTGTTTATAGAGCGCTGACGAGGTGTTTTTTGGGGTAGCTCCACGACCGCTTCTTTTTCGGTCGTTGCTCGCATAAGGCCAGACGGCCGCATATTCTCGTGTTGAACGTCGGTGCGCCTCGTTGCGAATTCGCTGCAAAACAGCCGTGCTGTGTGTGTGTGGTGTCCCAGGCACAGCCAAAGACTGCCGAGCGCGAATCGAGTTTCGCTTGAGTGGCGGTGCCAGCAATTCTTAGTAATTGGCTTGTTGGTTCGTGGTTTTGCTGCCCTGACAAGAATGAATGAATGAATGAATGAATGAATGAATGATGACGAATGACACACAGTTGGCCATCACGGTTGGGCCTGCCTGGCAAGGGTCAACCTCGTCGGCCGATCGGGCTGGGCCTCCTCGAGCTCGGTACCCACGATTATCATGTACAACGTGCTCCGCAGTTTCAGAGGCGCTGCTGAGGCGGACTATGCCAGTACGGAGTAGCAGCTTGTGCATTTGACGTCAGGTTTCCGCTTTGAGAGTTGCTGGATCGTGTGTTGGCGTTGGCTCTCGGGATGGGAAGTTTTCGTTGTTGGTCAGGGCCCAGAGCTCAAGCAAGGTTAATCAGGGTCGAGGCCGAGGCCAGGGTCGTCGGACGGGGGTTCTGGCCTCGGTTGGGGTCAGTCAGGGCAGGGCCAGGGCAGGGCCGGGGAATCGAGGTCCAGGCAGGCAGGCAGGCCAAGGGCACTCGGCTGTTATGACAAGCGGTCGATGGCTCGAGATTATCTTGTGCCTCCTCCTCGTCCGCCGAACCGAGTACGTCCTGCCGAGGCTTAAGTATGTACCACGGCATACTTGGCACCTACTTTGAACTTCACCAAGTAAGAACTACTTGGATAGTATTGGTATTAAGTAAGTACTTAAGCAGTAGCAGTAGTAGTATTACTACCTAAGTACTTAAGTACTTATTACTCAAGTAAGTACTCCGTACTTTAGGTACTGACTACCAGCACCGACATGCAGCGGCTCTCGAGCCACCATCTACTCACTCAAGTACGTACCTGGGAAGGCAGGTAGATGGCAGATTCAACAACAACAACAACAACAACAACAACAATAACAACATTAGTCTTGTCATATGCAGCTTTATTAATTTTGGGCGAGTGTGAGGAGTGTGCAGCAAATCTGCCACGGGCACCTGCGCACTCCTTCCCCTCTCTTATTTTATGCGGCCTGTCATGACATTCGGGGGGTGCAGGATAGAGTACAGAGTACAGAGTCACCTCGAGTGACTGCTTTGGATTTCCATCAAATCCAGCCGTCTGGGCTCGCCAGTTGACGCCAACGGCCGTCTGCCGTCTTAACCGCCCGAGCCGCTCGCGAGACGGTGTGCATCTTGCGTCTTGTGTCTCGCATCTTGCGCCTCGCGCAGGGCCCTTCCTGACGTCTGTTCTGACATTTGGACCTGCTTCCTGCTGCCTGGTTCCACTTCCCGATCTCGTTTCCGAATGTCCTTTTCGGTCTTGCGTTCGCCATCCTTCGTCTGGTTCATCGGCCCCGTTTTGGCCCCTCACACTCCTCTTACCGGCCTCCCCTCCCCCGTATCGCGAGTCGCGTGGCTCAAGCGCCGATTCCACCGCCAGGTCCGCGTTCATCTGTTGAGACCACCCACTGTCTTTCGTCGTACGGAGAATAGCTATCTCCCAAGCCAAGCTAGCCTCGCCTCTATGCATGTCCAGGTGGTCACGCCGCCTGGCTTGGGCCACTATTCGTTAGCTGTCTCGGCCTTACTCGCATCGTTGCGAGGAGCCGTCCTTCACTTGCAATGCAGGTACAGCCCTGTGTTGGTCTCTTTTCCCGGTCCGATTGACGGCCATGGGGAGCACCATCCTGTAGCTCAGGTCAACTGATGGAGCGCAGCTAAATTTCAAACCAACAAATCGCACGTAGCCGGGATATGACAGTGCCTTCTTTTGGTAACTGATCGGAACCTCGTCACCGCTTTCAAATCCCGCAATAACGCCAACAACGCCTTGTGTGATACTAGCAGGTATATGATTCCGCTTGAGTGCCTGGAAAGTGTGAGATGTACATAGTCCAAAATAGGTAGAATCGAATAAGAGAGAGAACAAAAAAAAGAAGGAAAACAGGAAAACAGGAACAATGACGGGGTTAAAATAGGCAAAAACAGAAAATAGCAATGGACCAAAAAAGCGATAGGGGGGGGAAAGGAGGAAGAAGACGGTGAAGGCAACAGTCATATCGCTTATGTCGGATGATGTGGAGTGAAATAATAATGTGGCAAAAAGCGCCATGGCAATGCCATTACATAGTGGAAGCCCAAAAGAAACTGGGGTATATGAGCGTAGGATGCTTCCAGACTTCATGGTTGGTTCTTCCCATCCGCCGGATGGCCGGGGTTGATTATGTTCTGGCGGTCAATTCCGTACGCATTGATGCTTGGTGATTCTTGAAGCCTTGTATGGTTCTTGTGTCTTCGCCTTCGCATTCTAGGGGCCTTGTATACAATTTGGGAACAATCCATTGCAGCCTCCGAAGACGTCCTGTATACCAGCGCTCCACTTTTGCGTGCATGGTTGGCAAGGCTCTGAATGAGGCTATGACCATCATTTGTCCATATCAACTCGTCGGTCCCAGCGCCATATCCTTCATCAAGGTCCAAGTCCTTACACTCCAGCTTCTGTTTTGGATCGACCTCAAGGAGCGGTGCGTGATGTTCTGTTTCAGCAGATCCGGGCATTAGTTTCACTGAAGGAGAGTCAGCTGGGGGCGACGGCGGTCTTTCTGGTTCAAGATCTAGTATATTGGAATGATGTTGCGCGGAAGGACCAAGCGTATCGGCATCAGTCTGGTCGCATTGCTGTTCTATTTGAGCGGCTGCGCTGGTCGTTTCTGTTGATTTCTGTGCAGTGCACTCCAATTTGTCACAGTCCATCATCAGGACATCATGACCGGGTTGTCGCCGCAGGTGAGGAATCCTCCTATTTACATCGCCGGATAGTACACCACCAGCGCTGTGGCCCAGAGACTTGAGCGACTGTCTTTTCAGTCTGTGCACAAGAGATTCGACGGGTGGAGCCCGATTCCGACGGCGGCAAATGCGTTGTCGTTGAGAGCCTGATATTACGATCCTAGGCTCGATGCTTCGTCTTTCAGATGCTGGCGACTGTGATGACGGCGGAAGTTGGTGTATCGTGTATTCAGGCTGCGGCCGTCGCGGTCCCTCGAGGCGCTCGAATTTGGGCGACCGGCCTGGCCAAGAATTTTTCTGGTGCTCCATTGTCAAGCCGGGCAGACATGGAAGTGAGGTTGACGGGTGGTACGTGATGAGGCTTGTGCTCGTGAGTGTTTCGAGTAGCGACACCGGATTCCTGCTCGCGCGCGTCAGGGCGGACCGAAGGCTACCATCTGGGAACCCATGAAGAGAATGCCGTCTCAGGTACCGAATCCAGCCGCAAAAGACTAATGGTTGGCGAATGTATATGTAGCAGCAGCAATGGCGATGTCGAGGTCGATGTCGAGGTCGATAACCCGTGACAAGGACAAGCGAGGCGACTAATTCTGAGCATGAAAACAACGGTCGCATGCAGGTTCAATGTTGGATTCTTCAGCAAAAGCCAGCCTAGTGCAGGGCAGGGAGAAGAGGCGTCATGACGGACGAGCTCCCATCGGATGGGCGACCTCGCAGTAGTAATATGTGACGGCGGTTGTGCAATTATGCATCGCAGGGTGAGCCACAGACACGCTGAAAACCTGGTGGCTCCAGCCTCCAGGCCAACAACGAGACCGAAACCGCACGTGGCTGCCCATGTTTGTACAAACCAGCCAAAAGTAGTAAAACGTCAAGCTGCCGCAGGCCTGTTTAACGGGCACTAGCATTAATGGCGCCAGCGGCGGAGTGGTGGCTACTTCCTAGTACTGAACGTGTTGTTACGGAGCAACTTGCCAACTCAAGTACCTAGGTACTTAACTTAGTAGTTACGGAGTACATGGGCATGGAATTGTCTGGTCCGACTTGCTCGCCAGAAACCCTGCGTGCGAACGTGTGAACAAAAGTCAGACTAGCCGACTCCGAACTTGGTACGCAGGGCAGAGCACAGTACACACACAATACCGGGTCCTTTGGTGGCGCTGCTACTGCTGCTGCCCCTCTTATTACTGCGCCGCTACTCCGTACTCGAGTACCGACTAGGTACCTGGATATGCACTGCTTCCAAAACCATGGCCACGGGCTCACTGCGACATCGCCCTAGCATGCCATCGGGTCAGCCAGAAATCGCACCCCACCAACAATTGGACCACTCAGCAACCAGCCAGGCCTCGGGACGGCCCAGTGGATGGATGACAGGCCCGGGGTGGGAGTGGCCGCGGTGGCGGCACAAGCCAGAGCGTCCCTGTCCACTTTGAGACTCGGGACCCGCAAGCTGGTGTTGGGCAGGGGCAGGGGTAGGGGCAGTGGTCGATGGCGTGGGATGACAGGATGACAAGGAGACCGAATGCCTCTCAGGACGAACGGAAGGTGCTCCCGGGGCTTGCGGCTGACTTGTCTTTACGAACTTGACTGCGCGCCGCGGACTCGTGCCCCGCCCCACTGTCAAAAGGCTCGCTAGGACTCACCATCTATCTAAGTACGTAGTACGGAGTAGACGATTCATGCCCATGCCGGCTTGGAACACTATGGAGTCTAGACAGCCTTGGGCCTTGGGACCCGGAGCATCCACGGATGCATCAAATTGCTGTACGCCATGCCCTTAGCCGGCCACAGGCCGATCTGAACATGCGTCGTACTGGTCTGTGGTATTGGTTAACTAAGTAAGTAGGAACCACATGGCTTGAGCCGGCCACCACGCTCGGAGTCAGCCCAAGCCAGACACGGTGAGCAGGGGATGTTCTTCATTCTCTCCTCCGGGTACAATGGCGCCCCTGCGCGCGCACGTGTGTGTGCCTGGCTCATGAGTCATGACCACGCTGTCTCTCTCTCGGCAGACGCACTCTAGATTCTCGCTTTTATGAGAGGAGGAACTGCGGCACGTGGAGGTCCTGATCCCATTGAGCGCTTGTTTTCCCAAGTTGTTGGGGGTATCTCATCAGTCGATTGTCCCATGGCAGGCAGCAGGGCGATTTGGAGGGATACAGCACCTCCGTACTCCGTACCTTTGTCATGAGCCAGGTCCTCCAAGTTGCTGCCACATGAGCAGTAGTACGGAGTACACGCGTCTCACTTTCTTTGCCCGTGTCACGGTAAAAATGTAATCATGGCCAATAAACAAAGGACGGCGGACACGGAGTATCATGTAGTGGGAAACATGGTGAAGTCGGCCCTCGGCGAGGGACTGATATCTAAATAACTTCCCGGCTGGGATTGGACAAAGAGCTGGTGGTAGTATTCCGACGTGTAGACAAACATTGCGATTTAAACTACGGAGTACTAGAGCACTCCACATCCAAACTCAGCATTGCTACGCGACTAGTCACCACACTTCTTGTGCCTGCAAGCTGCTGTCACTGGTGATACAAGCGATCAGCACGTACTCGATAGGCATGGATCGCTCGTGCATGCTCTGACCCGACCCGTTTTGGATCCGGCCAGCGTATCGGCTCTTGGACGCGCACGACGCCATGCTTGGCCCATCGCGGAGTGCATATGTTTAGCTCGAGTTTGCGACTGCTCACATCTCCCCTCTCGACTGGTCGCAGATTGCATGAAGACGGACCACGGTCAACACTACGGGGTAGTCGCTGTTTCAGGGTGATGCTGTCTCGGTACATGGGCGGGAGCTCCAGAGTCAATGATTGGGAATCAATACTCCGCCCCAGGACGCCATCAATTGTCGACGCTGGCAATTGCGTGCGCCCCAACCATGGTAGATAAGCTTGCCGTCAATGCGACATCGCCATGCCGACCGTGCTATCCCAGATGGGTGTTTGGCAGATCCAGCCCCAGCCAGTGTGACATGGGCACGAACTCTGAACCATTGTAAGTGGCGTGGCGTTACAATTTGTAAATAAAGCCATCAAGAATTGGATCATTCGATTCCGATACATTGCGTGGTGAGATTTGCGCCCGCTGCCATTGCCGTTGCCCGTGCCCGATGCTCCGATTACGGAGTCATAGACTGACACGATCCAAGTACCTACTTAAGTACTTAAGTACCTGGTAGGTATTGAGGTGCCTAGTACCTCCCAGGGTATCTTTCAGTACCCAGGTACTTCCTCGGTAGGTGCGCGCGCCGCCCCTATTTCTGAGGACAACGGAACTATCACAAGAAAGGTCAAAAACATGACCTCGTCGAAAGTCTGATGAGCTGTCTTGTAGCTGATGAGGATGGGGACAGCCCTGAGAATACCTCTCCGCGCGCTATTAGGTACTTACTAAGTACTTACTCAAGTAGGCAGGTCCGACTCAACAGTCGGCTAACTTATTAACCTACTTAAGTACACGGCAAGCACGGTATAGCCCAGCTCCTTCCGCGCCGGCGCCTTCGACATCTTTCCTCATGGGCTGATGTTTGATCCTTCCCCAGTCGTGCTCCTAGGACAAGGTCAGGTTCATCAACTGGGCCTTAGGAACTCACTGTACTGTGTGTTCGCTGTGAGCGTGGACGGATTCCGCGCGGCGAACCTGTCCATCCAAAGAAGGGCGTCAGTTTTTCAGCGTAGCCGATGCTGTATTATCATTGTTATTGCCACGGCGCCGGCGTCAATTCTGTTTCCTTTTCCCCCTCTCCCTGCTTGATGCACAGGACGCTTGCGCCATGGGTGCCAAACACCCTGGCTAGCCACATGCCTGCACAGACTTGCTGATAGTCAGTAGTTCGGACCTGAAATCACGAGCCCTTGGGCCTCTTACCCCGGGTTTTGAGTGTCAACAATAACTAACTACTTTGTGCAGTACAATACTAGTCAACGAGCTCTGCGCTCCCCCTCTTTGTGGCCGAGGCGGTTGGATTACTGGACCGCGGCAACATTGTTCGGAAACAGGTTGATGGCTCCAGGAAAACAGTGGTTTTGCTCTTTTCTCACACGCCATGGACACCGACTGGGTGTCTGGTTCGGTTTCCAGTTCCCCTAAGACAGCATGGATTACATCAAACTTTCGGGCCTCCATCAAGAGGATCGATCATGACCGCCTGTTTCCTTCGGAAAGAACCTGAAGCAGAAGGGGATTTGAGCGTGGAGGTGTGCACTGCCACTAAGCTCAACTTGAGACTAGAGCAAGCTGGGACAAAAGCCCTGGTATGCCTACTCTGGCTTTGACGTATCATTGTGTCAGCTTCTCTTCCCTGCAAAGAGCCCCGGCGGCTCGAGCGCTCCCTTGGGAGGTTCAAATCCCGTACTTCAGCAGCGCAGAATTCTCCGAGTCCGGCTTGGCTCGACAAACTTCTCCTTTTGCTAATGATAGAAGGGGCAACGTCAAATTGTGACTTCTACGTAGGGCATTCAGAAGTAAAAAGCACCTATAGAGCGTGGACGGACTTGAATGGTGAAACCAAGGAACTGGTACTTCAAATGGATAATGCGATACGTCATCATCTAGAATATTAGGGCGGCACCGTGGTTGCAACCTGTTTACCGTATATTCTGTTCCCTACTTTATCAAGGTGACCGTCCTTACAAGACCACGCAAAGATTGCATCGCAGGGACTTGAGCTATCACGAAGCGGTGCCTAAGGATTGTTGGTCAACCGCCAATGTCGCTCATTAATGGACCATAGCGGTGGCTTGGTCACCAGGGCGTAAATCAGAGGCATGTCTGATCTTCAACTTGGATTCCCTTTGTGACCGTTCTGGATAGCTAACACATGGACTAGTCTTCTGCGGAGAAGCCAAATTGGCTCGGCTAAGCTCGGCACTCGCAACGGGCTCTTATAACTAGAAGGCTGATAGATTTGTTCCCGACCAACACGCAAGTCTTTTCGAGGTACTGAACACTCTAGTCAGGCCAACAGCTCCAGACGACTTTCATGAGGACAACCCCGACACCCTTGTCATTAGTCGCTGCGCTGGCCAATACGGTAATCGAAGCATATTTGCGGGGGCCCAGGCTGGAGCAGTACTTGTTGTCCCTGTTGCGAACTCCGAGAATACAATAAAAAAATGTCGGAGTAAGCATGCGCTTCATATTTGGTGTAGATACACACTTATACGTGAGTTGGGAGTTTGGCCCATACTGTTGCTGCGGTAAGTTTCGTCATCACTTTGATAGACTTGGGGCTGCAAATGACAGATTGTGGTTACAACAAGGCCGTTATTTAAAGCTGATGAGGCGTACATTAGCCA